TTGTGGTTATGATTGTTCATACCTGCTTCAGTCCTATATACTACACAAAATAAAAATCGCTCTGATTGTTCCACAGATAATAAAGTGAAAGGAAAAGATTTTTTTTTTTTTAACATGTTAAAGTTATTTACACATGCTTAAATAAGTTATGTTAAAATTTACTATCAGTAGCAAAACAAAGAGCTTTAAAATTAGCACTTTTAAAATTAACAAATAACATCAACTGTTAAATAATATTTTTAAAAATACAGTACATATTTCTGATAATTTGAAACTGAAGATGCCTTTAATCCACATGCATTTTTAGAAGTAAATAAAAAAATTTCCAATTTTGTAAAAATTCAGCATAGCATTACTAATTCAGAAGTCAAACAACAAAAATCAGCGTTATATTTACAAAATTTTCACAGGACTAGTTTCGATGGTTTTACCGAACCACCATCTTCAGCTGCAAAACCGCAAATGAACCAGATAGGAAATAATGATTAGATAACATAAGAAGGCCTGGACAAGAATCACGCAAGTGGTGCCATCTGTTGGTGAAACCAGGAACTAAAACATAATTTCTTTAAAGGCCGAAGGCAAATTTGGATTGGAATTAGGATCGTTAACTAGGAACAGAAAGATTTTTATGAATGTGAAATGCCTCTAGAAAAATCCAGTTCTCCAATGGAAGATGTTTTTTTTGAATAATTTTGGCAGCAAAAAATTGAAAGTGTGATTTTCGGACCAACAATGTTGCGCAACAGAAGACTTCTGTGTTTCCTTTTTTCTAACATATACCTCATGTTTTTTGACGCGAAATTTTAAGGCTCTCTTAGTTTGGCCAATGTAAATTAAACCACACTGGCAAGGAATCCTATAAATACCCCAGGAATTCATATCCGGAATGGGGTCCTTGAGTATGGAACTCGGAATTTTATTGATGGGAGAATAAACAACCCGAAAGTTAAATTTCTGCAAAATATATGCAACTTTATGGCTAATTGATGGAAAGAAGGGAATGGCAACAGAATTTTTATAATCTCCTAAAACAAGAGTGTGGCTTTTAGTGTGTTGAGATGAGAATTTTTTAACTGCTTGATTAATAATGTTGGGTGGAAAGCCCCTGTCAATAGCTATTGCTTTTAAATAATTTAGTCTTCATCAAGGGCTAGTTTGGAGGAGCAAACTTGAAGAGCACGGAAAACATAGGAATAAAATGAAGTTATCCGTTAATCGTTTCACTAAATTACGCCTGAAACGGCAAAAATTCCTGAATCATCTTGACTTTTTACTTAAATGTAAATGTAAAAAATTTATCCCCAATTTTATTCAAATCAAATCTAATCAAAAACCTTCGAGTCGTGTTTCAAGAATTCTGTTAAATTGCAAGCTTGCCTTACTTCGGTCCGTCATAAGGGATACACGTCAACAATCATTTGTCCAAAATTGAACGTGAACTCTATAAGCTTCATCTGGAACTCGCTAAATCATATCCAAAATTCACTGCCCTTGAACAAAAGTCTTGGTCTAGAACGGAGAATGCAGTTAACCGTCATAAAAACACCCTTGCAGTTAAATTCGAAAAACTTCTGTTACAATCTTCCAGTTCAAGAAGTTTAAAAAATCTTCCCATTGTAAACATCAAGCCAATAGTTAATATTTCTAATGTTAGTCTTTCAGAAGAACAAGAGAGAATTCTAAAATATAATTTTAACTTCTCACAAACCTGTAAACCCCTCGATTCCAAAGATTTTGGCTCCTATCGAAAAGCTTTCAAGTTCAGTAAAGTTTCAGATTCACAGAAAGAAATGATTAGGCATCTTATTGCTCATAATGTGAAATTCAATAATAAACCTTTGAAACCAAATCTAACTGCGAGAGAAAGAGCTACATTGCGTGAAATTCATTCTAACCTGGATATTATTATTTCAAAGGCCGACAAAGGTGGCCAGATAGTCGTCATGGATAGGAACACTTACATCGATGGTGTCACTAAACTCTTAAACGAAGGACCATATAATCCAATCCCTAAAGATCCTTCACCTTCGGACTTGTCAAAAATAAAAACTGTGATCAAATCTTCGCAAATCATTTCAGGCAACTTAAAACATTCACTTATCCCATCTGTTGCAAATTGTGCCAGATTATATGCTCTTCCCAAAATTCATAAAAGTGGTATTCCTTTCCGCCCTATTGTATCAAATTTAGGTACTGCCTCGTATCCATTAGCTAAATATTTAGTTTCTAGATTTTCCACTCTATTAGACAATAACATTTACGCCAAATATAAAGAAACCAAATATTTAGCAAATGGATACGAGGCAGTACCTAAATTTGATACAATAGGGTGGAAATGAATACCACTTTTATGAATTTTGAGAAGAGCATATAATCTGGCACAATTTGCAACAGATGGGATAAGCAAATGTTTTAAGTTGCTTGAAATGATTTGCAAAGATTTGAATGTCAGTTTTTATTTTTGACAAGTCAGAAGGTGAAGGATCTTGTTTATCATGCCCTCATCCAGTAATCGTTTCACTAAATTTCATCTTCGCAAATCATTTCAAGCAACTTAAATTTCACTTATCCCATCTGTTGCGAATTGTGCCAGATTATATGCTCTTCCCAAAATTCATAAAAGTGGTATTCCTTTCCACCCTATTGTATCAAATTTAGGTACTGCCTTGTATCCATTAGCTACATATTTGGTTTCTAGATTTTCCACTCTATTAGACAATAACATTTACACCATAAAAAGTCCAATAGAGTTTGTAAAAAATGTTAAAAACATTTCTCCTAGTAATTTACTCACGGTTTCATTTCATGTAAAATCATTATTAACCAATGTCCCAGTGGAAGGTGCATTAAGATGTCTAGAAATCAGACTTCGCGAATTTCATTTCTCTTGCATCGAAATTGATGAGCTAATTTCTCTCACTCTACTCTGTTTGAAACAAACACATTTTGTTTTCCAAAATAAATATTACAAGCAAACTGAGGGATTGGCCATGGGAAGCCCCTCAGTCCCATCCTGGCTGATATCTACATGCATTATTATGAATCAAAATTATTTTGAAACTTTAAACTTCCCGGCATGGTTTCGCTACATAGACGATACTTTTACTCTGTTTGAAGGTAATAAAGATGATTTAAATAAAGTTCTTTCAACAATGAATTCTATTGATCCTGCTATTCAGTTCACTTTTGAACTTAAGACTTGCAATTCTCTTCCGTTTCTCGACATTCTGGTCACACGTAACACATCCAACTTCAGTACTACGGTTTACCGTAAACCTTCTTCGGTTTGCCTTCCACCACACTTTAAATCATGTCATCCGACTAAACAAAAGTTAGCTTCATTTTATTCCTATGTTTTCCGTGCTCTTCAAGTTTGCTCCTCCAAACTAGCCCTTGATGAAGAACTAAATTATTTAAAAGCAATAGCTATTGACAGGGGCTTTCCACCCAACATTATTAATCAAGCAGTTAAAAAATTCTCATCTCAACACACTAAAAGCCACACTCTTGTTTTTAGGAGATTATAAAATTCTGTTTTGCCCATTCCCTTCTTTCCATCAATTAGCTATAAAGTCGCACATATTTTGCAGAAATTTAACTTTCGGGTTGTTTTTATTTCTCCCATCAATAAAATTCCGAGTTCCATACTCAAGGACCCCATTCCAGATATGAATTCCTGGGGTATTTATAGGATTCCTTGCCAGTGTGGTTTAATTTACATTGGCCAAACTAAGAGAGCCTTAAAATTTCGCGTCAAGGAACATGAGGCATATGTTAGAAAAAGGAAACACAGAAGTCTTCTGTTTGCTCAACATTGTTGGTCCGAAAACCACACTTTCAATTTTTTCTGCTGCTGCCAAAATTATTCAAAAAACATCTTCCATTGGAGAACTGGATTTTCTAGAGGCATTTCACATTCATAAAAATCTTTCTGTTCTAGTTAACGATCCTAATTCCAATCCAAATTTGCCTTCGGCCTTTAAAGAAATTATGTTTTAGTTCTGGTTTCACCAACAGATGGCGCCACTTGCTTATTCTTGTCCAGGCCTTTCTTATCTTATCTAATCATTATTTCCTATCTGGTTCATTTGCGGTTTTGCAGCTGAAGATGGTGGTTCGGTAAAACGATCGAAACTAGTCCTGTGAAAATTTTGTAAATATAACGCTGATTTTTGTTGTTTGACTTCTGAATTAGTATTTATTCGGCGTGTTATTGTGTCTTAATTTCAGCATAGCATATTTAACAGCCTTTTTTTTATATATGCTCATGCAAGTGAACTTATTAAACAAAAATGCACTATATTTATAATATATATTGATTGAAGAAACATGTTTATTTTATTATTGGAGTTATTAAGCATTTTCTGCATGTGCACCATCCCCCTGTTTCTACAGCAAATGCATAGTTAAATCTTTACATTTTTTTATTTTAGATAAATCTCTGCTTAGACGCATATTCCACTTATTTACAATTGATTTTTAGTTTTTGTAATGAACTAGGGCAAAGAATTTATAATTTCTCAAGTTTTCAGAAGTTATTAAAATTGAATATACTTCATAGCTGGGTAGTTTACATTATACACAACAAGCAAACTTGTTTATATATGCAACAATAGGGGTAGAATCTTACAAACAACAGAGGTGGAAGTTTTCTGACATTCAAAAGGGAAAACATGACAAATGGCTAAAGAAGGATACATTTTCTAGGGAATAGAAATGTCAATACTAGCACTTCTTGTTAAGTGCTTTAAATTATCAATCCAGTCACACAGTATTGATATATTGATTAGAATTTAAAACTATTCCAACATTTAATGCATATTAAGTATTTCATGAAACATTCATGGAATATTTAACATCTTATTTAACACTCATGGATTATTCACATGAAATCAATGATTTACAGTGATTCAGTTTACCAAAATGTAATTTAAATATGAGCCTACTTCCAAATGGAAAATTATTCTTATAAAGCTTTTAAAATAATTTTCACCCACCTTACCATAAATATTTCCAACATCAGAAACTTGTCCTCCAGCTTCAGAATAAAAGTTAGTTTTGTCTGTTACTATTATACAGTGGTTACCCTTTTGTACTTCTGATGAAAGTTTTCCATCGCTTATGATCGCAAGAACAGAGGAAGTTATACTTTCAACACCTGCATTATTATCGAATACATTACATGAAAATCTTAAATGTGTAACACACATATAGAGCAGAACATCTTGATACATTTTAAGGTGCTGTAGCAGTATTTAAAAAAAATATTTTTATTTTACATGAATATTTGAAAACAAAATTAAGAAATCTAAGAAATTAAAAATTGTGATCAATGTTTGATATTCATGACTTTAAATAAAAAAGGAGGGGGAGAAAGAGAAAAGGGGGAAAGGAAAAGAAAAGGAAAACTGCAATTCAATAATAATATATAATTTTAAGGAAACTATATTAAGAAAATTCTGAAATACAATTTTTTTTAAGAAAAAAAAAAGAAGCACATACATTTATTTTTTTTTAATTCATTTTTATCTTGTGCTTCAAATAATCTTCCTTTTTTTCATTTCAAAGAAAATAAATATATTATATAACTTAACATTAAAATAAATTAAAGAAATTAAAAGAAATAAGTATAGTTATAATTCTTAATAAGTACAGTTTTTCCCTTGCAGTTATGTTTAAACAGTAAGGCTATCACCAATTTGAAAAAGCACTTTTAATACATTTCACATTTATATACTTCTGTGTTTGCTTAACATTTGATCTCTGTTCCAGTTCATTTCATTCCACTTCATAGTAAAATATTTTATTTATATGATGCATAACTTCAGTTATGTGTCATTTCTTCTCTTATTTACCAATGTTTTTTTTTTTTTTTTTTTTTTTTTTTTTTTTTTTTTTTTCCGGAGTTCAAACTGCTTCCAAAAATATCATTTCTTCTCATAGCATTTAAGAGTTATACATTGGGATATAAGGGAAAGAAAGAAAAATAAAGAATAAAGGAAACAACACTGGAAGATTCTTTTTCCTTCACAAAAATTCAAATCTGCATCCATGTTGAAATTTTCTTTGGAAAAATGTTATTTATAGTGGAATTATAAAACTGAATTTCTTTCTGCAGATGTCAATTTCTTTTCACTTTTTGAATTTATTGCCTTTGATCTACTAACTGTTTTCCAACAAAATATTTCTTAAGGCAATTTTTAAAATGTTTGTTCTACTATTTTTTATTAATGCCTCATTTAATGAGTAATTGAAAATTAATTTATCTGATTTGTATTTTAAAAGAAGTACAACAAACCCCACATTTACACCTAAGTACTTTTTTAAATCAAATAAGATTTAAAAACAGTGATTCAGTTTACCAAAATTCCCATATAAATAAAATTTTCAATATAGGATGTTTGAGGCCTCTGAAAAAATATCAGAATTCTAATTAGTGACAGAGTCACAGCAGCAGAAAGGCAGTTTGAATAACCTCTTAAATTAACATTACACTGCAATGAAGAACTATTATGCAATTTCCCAAAATTTCAAAATGTTTGCAAAATAGGAAGTCTTTACAGTGATCAACTCTTAGAGAGAAAATATAAAATAATAAATGAATAGCTCAAACACAAAAAACATATACTCATGGCATCAACATAAAAGAAAAATTTTAAATACATTCAGTGACTGTAAATCCTTTTTTTTAAAAAAAAAAAAAGTCATCATAAGGAAAATTTTAAAAATTGCTTTATTCTAGAAAAGATGCCTCATATTACCAGTCATGCTCAGCTAACACAAAAAATACACATTTCATATTACGGCCACTATGAGCAAAGCGTAAATAATATATGATTCAAAAAGATTAAAAAGTAATACATTTCTGGTTATCTGAACTTCTAGCAAAATGTTGTGAATTTTTTGCTGACTTTGGAAAGCATACACGAACTAGCTGGAGGCTATTTTTTTGCAAAACTAATTTGCCATTTACAGTAAGAGCCATTTTTAAAATAGTGGCACACTTAAAATTCCAAAAAAGAGCAATCAGTCAATAAAATTAATGAAAAAAAATCAGCAATAAAACATTGGCCTTCTTAAGAGAAATTCTTGTGTAATTTTTTTTCTTTCTTTATTACTCTCCCCATATAAACAGCAATCTGTTTTCACTACAAAGAAACATCAGAAAACTGCACAAAATCAGCAGAGCACATAATGTTGGTATAGCGAAACAGCCAACAATAAATAAAATGAATAGTTGATGTAAAGGAGCTACAGCTGTCTCCAAGCCAATTTCTGACTTGCATTTTATCACATGCAATTTTTCACACAGCATTTTGATTTATATGTGGTCATTTAAGAAGTGGAACTCCCTAGAATGTGAATTTTTGCATTTTCTTTTGTTAGTCAAAACACCACATTGCTAAAGAAATAAAATGCTTTATGTTCTGTCAGTTGATAAATTCACACTTAAATTATAATTTATTGTGAGAAAAAGAAATACATTCAATGCAAAATGAAACAATAATCCCAAAAAGGATGATTGAATTTCAAAAGTGGAAAATAAACAGATGTGTGTTACATGCACGCTTGAGTTGCCGATAAATACTTTTTGATAAATTCTTCAGTGGTTGCCACATAACTATTCTGGCAACATACCGTGTTGCTTCATAATACTTTTTCGTGACTTTTCAGTAGGGATGCAGATAATCACAAAGCACCAACTTTCCTTTAATAAACAACATATACATATGTAATAACATATTATTAATGTATCAAAAACACAAATATTAATTTGACAACTTAACGACAAAGTACAAATTGCAAATTTGGTATTTTATCCAACACAGGATTCATTTGACAGCTAATCATGAGAAGGTATGCTTTAATTTGAAAACCACACGTACCTCAATTTAATTACTCAATATCAAATTACTGAAACAATTGTAAAAATTTAGGAGCCTAAAAATTTGTAATCTATATAAATACAAAAATTAGAAGTTAAAAAATTGCAAATTTTAGTACTTCCTTATTATTATTACAACCTTTAATTTAAATGGACCAAGATCATTAATATATTGTCAACTGTCACCAAACAGACAACAGTCCTCAGCCCATTGTCTTTTTTTTTTTTTTTTTTTTTTTTTTCTTCAGGAAATGCTAATAATTTTTGGTTTAGCAAAAAGTGAAGATGCTGTATCATTTTTCCTAGAAAGAGACATTTTATCTCACATTCAGATATGCAAAAATGGCATGAAATGAAACCATATATCAATGAAAGCATCTGGAAATCACAAGGCAACAACAACTGAAGGTACAAGATGAAATTTTGCAAATAAAAGAAAAACTGAGAACTGGTTCAGTGATTTCACTGTGATTTATTTACTGTTGCACAGAAAAATCATGAAGCAAGCATGCTTGCAATATAAGATTTTAACTGCGACTTAATTATAAACTTGGTAGTAATCTTGACACTATTTCAATAACAGGGTCATAATAATGAGGAACTAACTGTATTTCTTCAGAGACTTATTTCTTTCCTTTCTTTTTATAAAATCAAAAACTATATGGATCATAATAAATTGAAAGTATACGTATGTGAATTGCAAAACTAAAAAAGATTTGGAAATACTGTGTTAAATAAATGCAAATTTTAGTAAATCCAGTTACTAAAATTCATCTTTGAATTTAACATCTGTAACCCCACTACTTTGTACTTTATAACTTAAATGTGTAATTAAAACACCCTTAATTGTAATATTTTATCTTTATTGTGTTTTGTTAATTAAAGCTACTTAAAAGGGCCAGGTGCATCTTTTGTTTATGGTAGTTTTGGATATAGTTGGCCACCCAACGTGCGGTTCGAATGATTTACCCAATTTAGAAAAAAAAAAAAAAAAAATGTTTAGTTTACGATTCCAGGACATTGACTCACATTTCTTTTCCAGGTTTTGGGTACTACTTCCACCAGCAAAGTCCTCAAACGAAGATTATTTTTTATATCATATGAAGTATTGGTTTCATCTTCACCCAAAGATAACAGATAAAAGATTTTTATTCAATAAGCATTTAACTTAATAAGAAGATAACAGATTTTCACTCAATAAGCAATATAAAATTCTAATTATAATGTTGTTAATACGTTAATAATATGGAATGGAATGCATCGTTAAAAATTAAACAATCAAATATAAAGTATAAGCTCTAGATGTTTCTTTTTACATATGTTGCACTTTAAGAATTTATATTGTCTTACATTGTTTTAAATAATTGATTTCTATTTGAATTTCCTGTGTTTTAATTCTGTGTTCTAATAGAAGATTGATTTCACTGGAAGTCAACACAAATTAAATTTTGTTTCGGTTCTGAACGAAAGTTGTTTACGTGGCAAAATGTTATTTTTATTCTGATTGATGTACGTTTCCAGTGTGCGTAATTCTTTTAGGATTTTATAACTGTATTGCTATCAATGAATGAGTTGTGAGTTTTGTTTCATTTTATTTTATGAATAATATTAACGGATACTTTTTTTCTCTTTCAGAATAGAAATGATTAAAAAGTGAAAAGGGTTTTATCTAGTATATTATTTAAGCTGTGCCACTAATGTTTTGTTTTTATTTATTAAGAATACTTCTTTTGAATTAATGTTTAATTTGCTGTTATTCTGAAAAGGCATTCTAATACTTGCTGCATTTTTTATTTGTGTGTTTATAAAAATTTTAAATTATTATTTTGTAATATTTAAGAACAACTTATATATCTAATTGTGTTTTTCAAAGAGAACTATAATCGAAAATTAATTTCTTAAAGCATTTAGGATTTTGTAGACATCATAGAACTAATAGAAAATTTATAAAAGTTAAATTCTATTTTTGGGATTTTATTTTACTAAATTTGTGCATTCTTTTATTGGCCATTGGGCAAGTGTACCAATCTTTGTTAAATGTTAGTTTCATTTTGTTTTCGAAGTAATCTCAGATTAATGATTTTGTTCGACGTTATTTTTCAAATATTATGTAATTGTCAAGGGTAATTAAGAAATTCATAAAGTTTCTGAACATATAATTTTCTTCAAACAAATACTGAACTTTTCAATGGACATTGAAAGTACGATAACACGAATTTTGGGGATTAACCAGAAAAAAAGATGTGCAAGTGTTTATCACAGAACTGGGTTTGCCCGTCTCAGATAATTTGAAAGTGATTCAACTCAAAGAGCTAATTAAGCACATAGACAAAAATTCTATAAATTTCCAATTAAGCTAAAGCTTTGAAACATCCACTTTAGTGAATCTTCAAAGTAACGAAGGTAAACGTCTGCATACAAAACGGCATACTCAACTAAATCACTTATTGCAAAAATTCAAGAGAACTGCTTTGAACCAGGGGGAGATCCAACCCCATGTAGTGAAGGTTTGAAGAGAATCATCTTGATTCTGTGCCGTTGAATGAATCATCTCAAATCAATGAAGTGTGAAGAGAATCATCCTGATTCTATGGAGTTTTAAGTGAATCATCCCAATTCCATGAAATATGAAGAGAATCATTCTGATTCTATGGAGTTTTGAGTGAATCATCCTGATTCCATGAAGTATGAAGAGAATTATCCTGATTCTATGGAGTTTTGAGTGAATCATCCCGATTCCATGAAGTATGAAGAGAATTATCCTGATTCTATGCTGTGTGATGAATCATCTCGATTCAACGAAAGTATGAAGAGAATCATCCTGATTCTGTGTTGTGTGATGAATCATCTTGATTCAATGAAGTTTGAAAAGAATCATCTCGATTCACTGAGGTTTGAAGTGAATCATCCTGATTCAGGAAGTTTGGAGTGAATCATCCCGATTCAATGAAGTATGAAGAGAATCATCCTGATTCTATGGAGTTTTGAGGGAATCATCCCGATTCAATGAAGTATGAAGAAAAGCATCCTGATTCTGTGTTGTGTGATGAATCAGCCCGATTCAGAGATGTTTGAATGAATCATTCCAATTCAATGAAAGTATGAAGAGAATCATCCTGATTCTGTGTTATGCGATGAATCATTCCGATTCAATGAAGTTTGAAAAGAACCATCCCGGTTCAATGAACTATGGAAGGAATCATCTCGATTCTATGAAGTTTTGAATGAATCGTCCCGATTCAGTGAAGTTTGAAGAGTATCATCCTAATTCTATGCTGTGCCATGAATCATCCTGATTCAATGAAGCTTGAAAGGAATCATCTAGATTCTATGCTGTTGATGAATCACCCCGATTTAAGAGTATGACAAGCAAAAAAATATATTATGGTCATCAACATCAAAAGCCTTCTTACGAACCAGGTGATAGAGTAGGGTTGACATTACATCCTATTTGAAAACCAAAGTTTTCTGGCTCTTCAGTGAGACGTCGTATGAGCCTGGGGGGGGGTGAGTCTGTAACCCCATGGCTCAATGAACGCCACCTAGCGGCCGCCAGAAGAAACACCAGCCAAAAAAAAAGACTATAGCCTTCAGTCGATGTACTGGACTCAGCTAAGTATGGTGTTCCCTCGAGATTTACTTTGTAACTTAAATGTGCAATTATAATGCCCTCAATTGTAATGTTTTATCTTTATTGTTGTTAGTTAAAGCTATTTAAAAGGGTCAGGTGAGTCTTTTGTTTATGGTAGTCTTGGTTATACATCATCTATTTATATTTTACATTTTGCAAGTTAAAAGAAACAAGATTTAATTGCATACACAACTGGTATAAACATAATTTTAAAATGAGATAGGAATTTGTAAAACAGAATAAATCAACTGAAAAATTATTTTTTAAGCAAACATAAATGGTACATCAATACTTCCTATAAATACTTACCAAATTTATTTTTATCAGTATAATGCCTGTACTTGAATATGTCATTAGTGGCTGGAATACTTTCATTTTCCAGAATTTTTAGCAGTTCTAACATGCTGTTTGATTTTTCTCCAAACTGAGAACTTCTGTGTTGTTGCTTTAAAGAATTAAATAAATAAAAAATAAATGCCAGTTAATAAAAAAAAAAAAATTTCATTTGAGTTTAAATTCATCTTCTCCCGCCCACTAGTTTTCTTCAATGTTCTCAGATTACTGAGCTTTTATAATGAACATACCAAAAATAAATGAAGCATCAAGTATTTAAAATCACCATGAAAATATCCATGAATGGAAAATATAATTAATGATTCATTTTAAGAAATAGTTAAATGAATCAAGCTGTTCATTTAATTGGCAAAAAAAAAAATTAAAATTTATGCAGTAGAGTGCATAGAATTCATGCCAATCAAGTGTAACAATGTTAGCTTTTTAAGCTGTTTTACTATCAATTTAAAATTTCAAAATAAGTGAATTATACAATAAAATATTATTCTCGCTATTAACCACCCACATTGAGGAAGATTTAATTTACTCAAATTAACTCAGTGTAATGATATTCACATGCTAACATAACCTCTGCAATTCATTAACACTATTACAGTTCTGTGTCACTCAGATTGCTTCAGCATGCATATTCCCTTTTCACAAGGAAGCAATAAGCTTGATGTGTGTTCATAGATTGCCACTCTCTGGTGATTAGCAGAGTTACCTGCCATATCATTGGTACCAGGTTGAAATTCTAAAAAAGGCACATTGTTGAAGATGTAGATACCATAGACTCTCAATTAAATGCAGTAATAAAAGGGATTACACCCACAGTAGTGTTTAAAAAATATATAAAGAATAATTTATATTATAATTAACAGTTATTAGCTATTCCCCTATGTTTTAAGAAGTTAAATTTGGAGAATAAGTTCATAAATTGAATCGACATTCAACACAACCTACATCAAAACAGAAAAAACAATATTTTTATTTACATTTCTCTTATACAGTCAAAAGTCTTCCGGACTCGTCAGGACTTCGGCGATTCCGGATTATATATCATCAGTTTAATCGGTAAGATGGCATGCAGAACTATACAATTAAAATGAAATCATAATTTATGAAAACAAGTTGTGATCTAAACAAAACAAAATACAAAAAAAAAGCTTAATATTACTTGTTTACTTTATTAACTTTTCTTTCCAAAGCGTGCATGCGTAGCATACATTACATATTCGAAATTAGAAATTGCAACCAAAAACTATTTGATGCATTAATTCGAACAAACAAACAAATCAGCGTTATATTTACAATTTTCACAGACTAGTTTCTTTGATTTTACTGAACCACCATCTTCAGCTGCAAACACCGAATGAGCAAGATAGGAAAAAATGATTAGATAAGATAAGAAAGCCTGGACAAGAATAAGCAGTGGCGCCATCTGTTGGTGAAACCAAACTAAAAACCATAATTTCTTTAAAGGCCGAAGGCAAATTTGAATCAGGAATTAGGATCGTTAACTAGAACAGAAGATTTTTATGAATGTGAAATGCCTTTAGAAAATCCAGTTCTCCAATGGAAGATGTTTTTGAATAATTTGGCAGCAGAAAAATTGAAAGTGTGATTTTCGGACCAACAATGTTGAGCAAACAGAAGACTTCTTGTTTCCTTTTTTCTATCATATGCCTCATTTTCCTTGACGCGAAATTTTAAGGCTCTCTTAGCTTTGGCCAATGTAAATTAAAACCACACTGGCAAGGAATCCTATAAATACCCCAGGAATTCATATCCGGATGGGGTCCTTAAGTATGGAACTCGGAATTTATTGATGGGAGAATAAAAAACCCGAAAGTTAAATTTTCTGCAAAATATGTGAACTTTATAGCTAATTGATGGAAAGAAGGGAATGACAACAGAATTTTTATAATCTCCAAAACAAGAGTGCCTTTTTAGTGTATTGAGATGAGAATTTTTTAACTGCTGATTAATAATGTTGGGTGAAAAGCCCCTGTCAATAGCTATTGCTTTTAAATAATTAGTTCTTCATCAAGGGCTAGTTTGGAGGAGCAAACTTGAAGAGCACGGAAAACATAGGAATAAAATGAAGCTAACTTTTGTTTAGTCGGATGACATGATTTAAAGTGTGGTGGAAGGCAAACCGATGAAGGTTTACGGTAAACTGTAGTACTGAAGTTGGATGTGTTACGTGTACCCAGAATGTCGGAGAAACGGAAGAGAATTGCAAGTCTCAAGTTCAAAAGTGAACTGAATAGCAGGATCAATAGAATTCATTGTTGAAAGAACTTTATTTAAATCATCTTTATTACCTTCAAACAGGGTAAAAGTATCGTCTACGTAGCGGAACCATGCCGGAAAGTTTAAAGTTTCAAACAATTTTGATTCATAATAATGCATGTAGATATCAGCCAGGATGGGACTGAGGGGGCTTCCCATGGCTAATCCCTCAGTTTGCTTGTAATATTTATTTTGGAAAACAAAATGTGTTTGTTTCAAACAGAGTTGAGTGAGAGAAATTAGCTCATCAATTTCGATGCAAGAGAAATGAAATTCGCGAAGTCTGGTTTCTAGACATCTTAATGCACCCTCCACTGGGACATTGGTGAATAATGATTTTACATCAAAAGAAACCATGAATAAATTATTAGGAGAAATGTTTTTAACCTTTTTTTACAAACTCTATTGAATTTTTATGGTGTAAATGTTATTGTCTAATAGAGTGGAAAATCTAGAAACCAAATATTTAGCAAATGGATACGAGGCAGTACCTAAATTTGATACAATAGGGTGGAAATGAATACCACTTTTATGAATTTTGAGAAGAGCATATAATCTGGCACAATTCGGCAACAGATGGGATAAGCAAATGTTTTAAGTTGCTTGAAAATGATTTGCAAGATTTGATTGCAGTTTTTTTATTTTTTTGACAAGGTCCGAAAGGTGAAGGATCTTGTTTATCATGCCCTCATCCAGTAATCGTTTCACTAAATTTCATCTTCGCAAATCATTTCAAGCAACTTAAATTTCACTTATCCCATCTGTTGCGAATTGTGCCAGATTATATGCTCTTCCCAAAATTCATAAAAGTGGTATTCCTTTCCACCCTATTGTATCAAATTTAGGTACTGCCTGTATCCATTAGCTACATATTTGGTTTCTAGATTTTCCACTCTATTAGACAATAACATTTACACCATAAAAAGTCCAATAGAGTTTGTAAAAAATGTTAAAAACATTTCTCCTAGTAATTTACTCACGGTTTCATTTCATGTAAAATCATTATTAACCAATGTCCCAGTGGAGGGTGCATTAAGATGTCTAGAAATCAGACTTCGCGAATTTCATTTCTCTTGCATCGAAATTGATGAGCTAATTTCTCTCACTCTACTCTGTTTGAAACAAACACATTTTGTTTTCCAAAATAAATATTACAAGCAAACTGAGGGATTGGCCATGGGAAGCCCCCTCAGTCCCATCCTGGCTGATATCTACATGCATTATTATGAATCAAAATTGTTTGAAACTTTAAACTTCCCGGCATGGTTCCGCTACGTAGATGGTACTTACTTTACCCTGTTTGAAGGTAATAAAGATGATTTAAATAAAGTTCTTTCAACAATGAATTCTATTGATCCCGCTATTCAGTTCACTTTTGAACTTGAGACTTACAATTCTCTTCCGTTTCTCGACATTCTGGTCACACGTAACACATCCAACTTCAGTACTACGGTTTACCGTAAACCTTCATCGGTTTGCCTTCCACCACACTTTAAATCATGTCATCCGACTAAACAAAGTTAGCTTCATTTTATTCCTATGTTTTCCGTGCTCTTCAAGTTTGCTCCTCCAAACTAGCCCTTGATGAAGAACTAAATTATTTAAAGCAATAGCTATTGACAGGGGCTTTTCACCCAACATTATTAATCAGGCAGTTAAAAAATTCACATCTCAACACACTAAAAAAAAAGCCACACTCTTGTTTTAGGAGAGATTATAAAAATTCTGTTGTCATTCCCTTCTTTCCATCATCATTAGCTATAAAGTTGCACACATTTTGCAGAAATTTAACTTTCGGGTTGTTTATTCTCCCATCAATAAAATTCCGAGTTCCATACTCAAGGACCCCATTCCGGATATGAATTCCTGGGGTATTTATAGGATTCCTTGCCAGTGTGGTTTAATTTACATTGGCCAAACTAAGAGAGCCTTAAAATTTCGCGTCAAAAAACATGAGGTATATGTTATAAAAAAGGAAACACAGAAGTCTTCTGTTGCGCAACATTGTTGGTCCGAAAATCACACTTTCAATTTTTCTGCTGCCAAAATTATTCAAAAAAAACATCTTCCATTGGAGAACTGGATTTTCTAGAAGCATTTCACATTCATAAAAATCTTTCTGTTCTAGTTAACGATCCTAATTCCAATCCAAATTTGCCTGCCTCGGCCTTTAAAGAATTATGTTTTAGTTCTGGTTTCACCAACAGATGGCGCCACTTGCTTATTCTTGTCCAGGCTTTCTTATCTTATCTAATCATTTTTTCCTATCTTGTTCATTTGCGGTTTTGCAGCTGAGGATGGTGGTTCGGTAAAATCATCGAAACTAGTCCTGTGAAAATTTTGTAAATATAATGCTGATTTTTGTTGTTTGTCTTCTGAATTAGTATTTATTCAGCATGTTATTGTGTCTTAGTTATTTGATGTGTATTCGTGACATTTATAATGACGAGGAAATTGATTTAAATCATATCAGAGTTCATTGAGATGAAACACTACATTTAGTAAGGAATTATAAGCCGAATAAAATAAAAACATCTGCGCTGAAGATGAGGATAGTGCTGACAGATCAACTTCCAGTTCATTGCGCGCCGCGACGTTCCCCCCTCCCCGCAGAGCAGTGTGAAATTGATAAATAGATTTTGGAATGGTTAGAGAAACAAATCACCTCTCTGTCACTTTCTTCATGCCTTTATCCATTTTTTGCAGCAATTCCACTTTTTGTTTAATGGACATTGAAACATGCTTTCGCTTTGTAGATCCTTTGGCAGCTTCAGAATCGGAAATTCTATTTGACATAATCAAAAGTTCAAGCTTACGTTTATAAAATTGCTCTAACAGTCTGCAAAAAATAATATGCCGGATCCAATTCAAAGATTAAGGAACAACGCAATCTGCAACATTAACTGAAATAGATAATTAGGTAATTTTAGCTTAGCTTATATCGTCCGCTATACATTAAACGCGCATGCGTAAAGGTATTGTGCGCATGCGCAGAAAGTTTGTAGCTTTGATGTCCGGATTATAGATCATTCCAGATTATGGACGTCCAGATTAAAGACTTTTGACTGCATTTCAAAAGTCAATGGAACAAGTCAATGGGAAATAGAATTAGCTGTACATTTGTTTTATCTTTCCAGTTCAGCAATTTATTTTTAATGAGTGATTTAACCACGTACACTTAAGTTATATACTTTTGTGGATAAAAACAATTCCTGAATACAGTAACATTCCTTGTTATCGCCGTTGTTATTTCACTCATTCCCTCCCCTCTTGTTTGCACTTCATATAGAAATTTTGCTAATGGTTTATGATTCTAACTCTCCTATCATTCTGCTATTAACAATTTTAACTTTTTTCTAGACAAGGCCCAGTTTATGTGCAACATAGTCAATCTAACCTCAATTAATTGGCAGCTGCCTGCTACCTTTGTTACAAATATAATATCACTTGTACTATCGTGCATTCTCAGTAGTGAGACCATTAAATGATGCATGGCAATTCCCAACGAATGCTTAATTAGCAGGTGTACCACCACTGGATTAATAAAAACAATGTGTCCACCAGTTTCTATTAAAAAGAACATCATAGCTTAAATTACACTTTGATAAAGAAGCTTAACTACTGAAAGGTTATATGTCTCAATACCAAAGACTAGCATTTAAAGTCTACATCTCTCTGCAGTGATGCCTACATGTAATTACTGAGTCTTAACAAGCTTTGGTAATTTGACAAATTCAAGTGATGGATATGTTACACAGAATTTCAGATTAATATATATTTTTTTTTTTTTTAATCTTATTCATTCAAGATGCCTGAAAGGCTTTTGCGAATGCATTGTTTTGAAGTCCTTTCTAACTGTGTGAAGTCTGGGTAAAGTCCACGAATTTTTCCTTCTCTACTGTTTTTATATATGATTAATTATTATCAAATTATAATTTGATGCAAGCACTGCTGAGAATTTTGAACATAGGAGAAATAATTATTTAGGAGCATAGTATTTCTTGCACTTAATACTCAAACAATTTTTGATTCTCTGAACAAAAATTTAAAAAATTTTTAAAAAAAGGTTTCTATATACATATTGCATATAAAAAATAGCAGGAATATAAAAATAACTGCATGTATTTAAATGTACCAAAAATTCTACATTTTAGATTTCAGAACAAGATAAATAAGTAAAAAGTTGTATACCTTTTCCTTCGTGACTTGTTTATAACTTTCCCAATCTGGTAAGATATTAACTTCCAACAGTAAATCCTGAATAACATTTTCCTCTAAACCATGAATTTCATGCAATTCCCACAATTTCTGTCCTGTATTCAAAATCATTTTGGATAAAAGAACAATGAAACAAAGCATCTATGTGAAATTTATACAAATTAAAGGAATAGGTACTTACGTATTAACGCAACCAGGCCATAATTCGCATAAATTGCCAAATTTGGCGATCCTACTTACGGCAACCCTATACGACAACCCTACGTGTTATACATAGTTTTGTAAAAAGAGCATGTGGAGATTCACAAAATTTTCCTGCATTTTCGTGCAAATTTTTGTAATTTATGAGAAAATAGCAGTGTACATGGATAAAGTCAAGAGTGTGCGCAATGCCATTTTTGTGCAATTCTGGGATGTTTTTTTTAAGTAAAAATAAGTCGACGTGTACATGGTTATGGTGAATACGGTTTTCAATCAGTGCTAAAAGCAATAGCCAAAAGATTTCCATTCCACCGAAAAAAAATTCTGCAACTTATTCAAATTCGAAATCGGAAGGGTTTAAAATTGCTATTTTATATTTTAAAAACAAAAAAAGCAAAATATAAAAAACTGTATTAAAAATTATCTGTAATTAATAAATGTACATTTTCTTTCTATTCATACTTTTTTTACTCAAACTTACAAATAGCACCAACCTGGTTGCGATAATACGCAAGTACCAAGGAATATTACTCTACGAAATAATAAATTATGAAATAAAATTTATTACCATCAAATACATTTCCTGTACTTTCTGACATCATTTTGTTACGTACTTTGCGACCTTTGTTCACTAACTGATGAAACAATTTTTCTTCTTCATTTACAATATCTATAACCTGTTAAAATAATCCAGATTTATAAAGAAAGAAAATCATATTTTCAAAACACATTTAAGCCTTTGACATGTGTGCGACAAATACGTCTTAGATTTATCATATGCAAATCAACTTGTTAAAAGCCTAATTGCAAAAATCAATTTCATCTGGAATTTATACGAAATGTTTTCCAAAACTGTAAAGAAAACTAATCAACTTAGAGAATGACAGTACATATCACAAATAATATTCTACACTCAATGAAGTAATACTAATATCTTGAATAAACATGAATCAAAAATTTTACCTATATTTCTATACAAGCACATTACATATCAAATTAAGGATCTTAAAATTTGAACAAAGAATGATTCAATTAAAATATTATATAATATTATGAAATATTAGAAATAAGAATGATTAAAACATATATCAATATACTAACTACACAGGATTATCTCAATTTATTTTTCACTGTTACTGCATGTCGTTGTGTTACTGACTGTATAAGGTATTTCTCCCACCTTCCTAGCGTGCCTTCGCGGTGTAGTGGTTCTGCACCCTGGGCCGGTATTCCAGAAAAAGGGAGGAATATATAAGGTATTTCTCCCACCTTCCTAGCATGCCTTTGTGGTGTAGTGGTCAGCACACTGAGCCTGTACTTCAGAAGTCCATGGTTCGATTCCCAGCGAAGGCTGTTGCTTATTTTTCAATCTCTTGCTTCCAAAAATCCTAATGTCTCTACAGTGGTGCCCAAACTAAATGGGTGTTGGATGATGATTCTCCTCACATAGGATTTGATGATTGGGTCTCTTAAAAACCCCAGTCACTCTTTAAAAGGGGGAGTATATAAAGTATTTCTCCCGCCTTCCTAGCGTGTCTTCGTGGTGTAGTGGGCAGCACACAGAGCCAATATTTCAGAGGTCCGTGGTTCGATTCCTAGCGAAGGCGATTGCTAATTTTTCATCTCTCTTGCTTCCAGAATACCTAATGTCTCTACAACTGATCCTCTTGATCAATACACGGTGCTCTTAGACATAAATGCATCATGGTCAAGAAGTAGAGAGTTTTGTCTATTTGCAAAGGCATTGGGCATTAAAAGGTGAGAGTGCAAGTTTGCTTAGCTCTGTCCCAGTTTTAGTGAAGGACATCTCAGAGGAGGTATCCTGCAGTCTCATTCCTCTCCCTTTAACCCGAGTGCACTCACTGGGTCCAGTTGACCCACAAGATTAAACAAACCTTTCACAAATAATACGTATTTTCACACAAATTGTTGAGATCGAGTGTAGTCATGTCTGAGGTCAACCTTTTCAAGTTTCTAACATGTTTTCACAGGGGCTTTGATTTGGAGTCTTCATTTTGATTGGATCGGGTCTTTTAGAACCTGTGCACCTATTTATATTACTATTATTTAGTTGATTTGTGATAGTATACGAAGTGACAAACATGTCGCGTAATTTATCTTACAAGCAAAAATGTTGCAAAAATTATTCGATGTATCAACTATCGAAGAATGTATTGAAGAAAAGGAGGATGGCCATGATCATGACTTTTAGTTCACATGATACTGATTCAGAAACTAATATAGATACTGAAAACGAGAGTGAGAATGACATAAATTGTTTTATTGGAAAAAAATTATCGGAACCAAGAAAAAAAGATGCAGTGTTTGCCCAGCTAAAAAGCACAGCAAAACGAAAAATGCAGTGCGATGAATATAAAAAATATTTGTATTTGGAACACACAACAACACTTTGTTCAACGTGCTGCTAACATTTCTTGTTGCATTTTTTCTCTGTGTCTATAGTCTAATAAAGAATCGATATGGAGTAAAGGTATATATTTTTTTCCCACGCTAATATATAATACGATTTTTTTTATTCCTTTAAGAAATTTTATTTCATAAAAGCATTTGGAAAAATTAAAAATTTTAATGTGCATATTTTTAAGGTTGATCATAAGTCTTATTATTGGCATAGATGTAACACTTTTTCTGAAGATTTATAATTTTCTCTACAAAAAACACAAATCATGTCTTTTGGATCCAATGCGTTTGTTCTTGTAACTCACATGAGCACACAAATGATGAGAATAGAAAAACAATATAAATTTATATCAAAGAAACTGAGAACATTTCAACATGAAGACACTCCATCTGGAAGCTTACCGTAGTGAAGTGATATGAAGTTTTCTACTTCGTTTAATTTAAATACCTGTGTACTTTCACTATTCTTTTTATTGAAAATGTGAGTCATATGGATATGTGTTCAAGAGTTAAAGATGCTCTGGCCAGCATCATACTTTCTTCAATGAAGAACTTTTTCTTGCAAGTTTTTTCATAATCCTGATGTTGAGAATGCTATAAAGTTTCAAACATCTACAGTAAATGGATTAAGGTTTTTGCATTTTTTTACATCATTAAACTGGGTGTTACATTTTTTATTACCTAATTAGATCATGCTTTTTAATTATTCAATGTGTTATTAGAAAATTCATATTCCTTTTAAGATGATGTCACACATTTTGGTGGACTGAATTAGTAAATGCTGCAGACACCAAAAAATGCAATCTGCAAAAGATTTACATACAAAATGATGACTGAAAGAAATTACATCTAGCTTTTGCCAAATCAATAATTTTTTACTATGATCATTATCTGCTGCTAAAGTTTAAACATTTCACGAGATATTTTGGATTTTTATTGCCAAGAATAAAGTTTAGGATGCAGTGGTAAATTTTAAAACTTAGATAAATTTTTTTTAATTTAGATATCTTTTACAATAACAGTCTTCCAACTTTTACAGTAACACATACATTAACATAATATATTTCTAAACATCATTAGTTATTAGGTTGCTTATTGGAAACCAGAAAAGTTCAAACATAAAACCAATATTGCCATCAGGAATGTGAGATAGCAATCTTGAACTACCAATAGATGATGTCAGCACATGTAAAATAACAAGAGAGACAGTTTACCATAATGGTGATGCCCTTATAACACAGCATCAAACAAGAACAATGAAGCATGTAAGCTTTTTAAGTGAAAGGGTGTAACCTGTATAGATTCAACATCAGGTGAGAATTCAGTATGATGAAGGACGTAATAGTCATACATAAACATACGAGTGCACTGAAAAGATAAAGACTGTTCTAATTAAAATGCATGATTCTCCTCACTAAGACCAAGTGGTAATAGGAGACAACATTGCAACTAGGGAAAACATGATGCAGGAAAACTGATAAGTCACAATTTAGAAAAAGGCATAACCATAATATCAGCTCATCAAAATTCTTCAGCGTATTCTCACAGAAAGGAAAATTAGATACATCCTGAGTAAAAAAGAACTCCAGGACAATGGTAAGATTTAGTTGGGGTGCATAAGTGGATGTACACTTGTCAAAAAGAATTCATTTCCAGCAATATCAAGTGCAAAAATGTACAGAACAAGACAGAGAACAGTGATAATGTTTTTAATTATGTGTAATTATTTTAACCTTTGCAATAAATGTCTTGTAAGCGAAAAAATATGGCTTTCCAATAAATACTAAACAAAAATGAATTGAAAAAAGACTGAGCTTGCTTTTAAAAAAAATCTGATGTGTACACCACATGACTTCCTTGTACCGAATATTAAATTATACGCATTTTTTCTTGCATTTTATTTAAACTTATTAGATTGAATTAAACCTACTTCGCCCGACACGCATAAACCACCATGGAATAATGCATTCTTAAATTCACTTTGTTTACCATAGCGACACTAGTGCTAGGTTTACTTAACAGTATTAATATTTCATTCAATTATAACTCAGATGCACAAATGTATATCATTTAAAGAATTATCTAATCGTTGCCCATGTTCTATCCAAATACTATATAAAGCTAGAACTATTATAAAAGAAATTAAGCAAGTAAAACAAAAAAGAAACAGTTTTTCACAGACGATTGAGTATTTCTCATTTAATTAATTCAGTTATTACTTCGCGAGAAGGCAAAATACATAAAACTCAAAATATCTATATTAAAATTTGGAAGTAATCTCAAATGCTTTTTCCTTGAAAAAATTCCAGAAAGAATTAAGCATGATTTAATTGGCAATAATAAATGAATGCGTTATCTTTGTTGTTGCAAAGCTAAGTTTCTCTAGATTGGCAACAAATCCACTAGTCTCCTGTTTCAAATGAAAACATCAATGGCCGCCATTAAAAACAGGCTTAGCGGCACTTAGACGACTTTAAAATTATTGATAATTCTAAAAATATTGCATATAGATTTACTAACTTTAAAAACCTTAACTGGAAGATAAAAACAACATAATACAATCATTTTTAAAGCAAAAAATGTACAATTTACAAACATATAAGAGTAAAGAAACTGAGATTACTGAGACGGGTAACAGAGTGTATATATATATAAATATATTTATATACGTTTGGTGCGGCCGATTGCAACCAAAATACGAGGACACATCTACATTTATAGCAGTCCTATACAAAATTTTAACGTTCTGAGGCTACTCGTTTTTTGAGTTATGCGAGATACGTATGTATGCACGAACGTACATACGTTCGTACAGACGCCACGAAAAATTCTTTTCAGAATTAATTTTAAAGCAGTTTTATAATTTTTTTGAAGGAAAAGAGTATTTTATTCTGTCCTTACGTACAGATATCACGCAAAAACATCATTAAATTACATTCGATAGTGGTGAAAATGGATATTTTCGTTGAAATATGCTGCCTGAAACTTTTCGCGATTACAATACTTCCTTTTTACTTCGTACAAGGAAGTAAAAAGTAATACAAATATATTATAAGAATAAAAATTAGAACTTTACTTAATCCACATGTATTACTTTTTGGTACTTATATATTATCCCATCAACCATATAAACTGGCTACCATCGAATTATGAAAGTTGGAGATCCTGCCAAAATTGTGCAAATCATTCTTATTGAATTCTGAAAAAACTAACACCTCTTTATTTAGTAAACAATCAGCATTTGACCTTTGTTTTTGCATTCTTTAAAAAGGCTTTTGTTAGTTTCTGCTGTTTGATTTAGACCTCCAATTTTATTGAAGCTCTGTTTAGAATGCTGTGAGCACAAACATCCCATACGTAATTGTTCCAGTCTATTATTGTTTTGTCAGTCATATTCAGTTGACTATATCATGTCCATTAATGCACACTTTTTTTATAGTAGGATCCCACAACTTTGGAAAAAAATGCACTATTTGCTGTTCTGTAAAAACCAGATATCAAATGTCAATCCACCCCACCCCTCCAAATGCAAGGAGAAAATACGGATAAACATTTAATTTGTATCCTTGTTCATAAAAACAAAAGACTACCTATCAGGAATCAATCAGATTGCATTAGATGAAAATGCAAGAGTTATGACTGCGTTTTTTTTTTTTTTTTTTTTTTTGTGTGTGTGGTGTGTGTGTGTGTGTGTGTAGTGCTTATCTAAAATTGACCCTAAAGCATGCTGCTTAGGGACACTTTTACAGTTGACAAAAATAATACATAAGTACCCTTTTTTATTTCAATATAATCTTAAAATTGTTCATATGCACAATGTAAAAAGACCATGATTTCAGAGATAAAAAAAAAGTACCTCCTTAACATGTTTTCCTATTTCAGGATAAAAATCTAGAGATTCAGCAACATATGGCACTAATGATGTAAGAATTCCAGGTCGAGTTTTCATGACACGATTTGCAGTGTATGCTGCTCTCCTAATTATTTTACGAAGGACAGACCTAAAAATATAAATTATTATAAAAATTAACAGTATGCTGAATTATGGAAAATAATCTACAATATAACACTATAACAATGTGGGCCAACTGGTCACTGGTAAAGCTTTGTGTTGCCACTTTGCAAAATATTAGATATTTGTGTTTGAAATTTAATTATAAAACTGAGCAATATTAAAGAAGCCACTTGCAATATATTTGTCTTCCAAATTTAATCAACAAACTCAGTGATTTGTTGGAATGAATGATTTGTTGAAATGAAAATATTTTAATCCACCTGTATAAGTTAAAATATTTTCATCTTTCATTGTTACAAGGTTTTGATGTTCAGCAAAGCATAAGGTATGTAATTTTTCTCCCAAATTTATTCTGTTATTAATTATAAAACTAAGAAGGTTAAAAGCAATAAATGCAGATTCATTTCAGTTATTAATTACTATCTAGACCTTGAAATTATACTTACTGGATTCATTCATTTTGTGTGTGTGTGTGTGTGTATAATCCATACAAATCTAGAGTTTTATTCTGATCTTGATAAAATGTTGTGCACTTGACCTTCAAAACAAGAGGAAGGTCACTGTCTATATAACATTTTGAAAACCACTCCACGGGGCTGACATTTAGTGCATTTATATTATAAAGTTGCACTTATGTCATCCACCATAGGTTCATGCCACTGCTGTGGCATTTTAATTATCAGTGAAATCAATATACTAAGCAAGGAAATATTTTTTACATAAAAATAAATATTAATATTTCCACACACAGGTTAAATTTTGAAATACTAAAACAGTTGCTGCATTCCCACTATCAGTTTTTGCTCAAACCTCTAGATGGTGGCATGTCCATTTACTCTTTAGAATAGTCTGGAACTTTCCAGAACACAGTAGAATTTTTAATGCAGAATTTAAGTGTGATTTCTCTCAGTTTTTCATGAATATTTTTATGGTAAAGAAACTGGCTAAAGTGGATAGTGATTTTCCAAAGTCTCACTTTTGAAGAAAGACACAGCCAATAACAAAGTACTAGTTCTTACCTAAAGTCTCACTTCTGAAAAAGACATAGACAATAATAAAGGTCCAGTCCTTAATAAAACTATTACATTACATCATGCTAGTTCTACACTGTTCTATGGTTATATTTGATCATGGTAAAAATTTGCACAATTCACCTTGACCATAAAATAATAATAATAATAATAATAATAATAATAATGATAATAATAATAATAAATAAGAGAAAGAAATCGCTGGCTATATCAGATTTATTTGATAAGATCTACTCCTATCCCTTTAAATGAAGCCTTTTCACTATGCATAAAGTGTCTGAGCTATCCAGGTACTTCTGCTAGTTAAAATATAGAGTACTTATAACATAACTTTTGCTGATGTATATCCTGAATTTTCTTTCAGTTGCTTTAGAATGAATTCTACCGATAACTTTATATTATAATTGAAATATCCAAAATATAATACCATTCACATGATAAAGCTTTAAAGTTTTGTGACAGACTTTTAGCAATATTTTATGACAGAATAAAAGATCAAAATCCACACAGCTTTGACCTGAGATTGTGCAGTTTATATAGTTTTATGGATTTATGGCCATAAAATAAAAACTTTTAGATTTAGATACAGAAAAGAAAGAATAAACATAGATAAATTTTAAAAAGTACATATAAAAACAATTAATTCCTTTCTGAGTTTTTATAAAAAATATATATTAAATATACCTTAGTTTTATACGAAAAGAAACAAGGATTTAAAAAAAGCATGCAAAAAATTATTTTTTATAGACACCCATTTATAATTGTTTGCTTTAAAAGCTGCCGCGTTTGAGCGCAATTTGACTACTGGCCTTTTAACAGAAGACTACAAAAACTTCAATTACTTCAAATATTCAACTAAAACAACACAGGATTAATGTTAAGTTATAGGTGAAAGTTAATTTATTTGTAACAAAATATTTTTGTTAACAATTATAAAAGCAATTACCAAAAGAATAACGTTGCTTTCTTCAACAATGAATAATAAAATCCGTCACAATAATGTCCAAATCTTGTCAAAACTACCAACATTTCACTATTGACATCTGACAGGCGGTATGATTTTCAGGCATTGGTGGATTTAAGTCTTCTGCTCTACATACTTCTATTTTATACGTTAATTTCAAAGTAAACTCAAAAAAAATTTACCCTGCATCATTGTAATCAGGAAAAATGCCATCAGCTATGGACACAGTAAACATGCGACTATGGTCAGCCAATATTCGATAAGCAGTATCTAAGCCATCAACATCATGGCATCCAGTTTTGCCTTTATAGGGTTGAACCTTGAAATTCTGAGGTAAAAAAAAATGTATTTATTAGAAAAATATAGAAATTACTTAAGTTAATTAAAAAATACAGCTAAGAAACAAAATGGCAACTGCTCAAAAATGAAAAGATTCAAAATTATATATTAACTGCTATTTTACAGAAACTGTATGAACATTTAGCAGCTGAAAACTCAGTATGTATGTGCATTTTCTTAGTTTTGTTACTTAAAAACCAACATATTACAATAGCAAAACATAAACAGAAAGTATAATTAGATTTAAAGAATTCAGCGGTCAAACAAAATTTTGATAAATTCCTAATACGTTAGTTTCTCACAATTAGGAATATATTCATTCAAAGGAGATGAATAGATTCATACAAAGGAGATGAATATATTCATACAAAGGAGATGAAACAAGATCATCCCCAAATACTGCAAATTTTCTGGAAATCAGCAATAATGTACTTACTTTATTTATATGTATGTACTATTCTTTTTATTATTATTATTATTATTTTACTTTAAAACGTATGAGTTTAATGAATACCCATGCAAAATGTAAACTTCTTATGAGTTTATAACTGCTTTATTAATATTTTGTCTGTCTTATCAAGAATTAGCATTTTTTACTTTCACTTTGCAATAGTTTTACACTCTCATTTCCAGGAGATAATCCTAAATAGAAAATTAATAACTATAAAAAAATAATATTTTTATATATTCCTGATAGTTAGAGCAATTATGTTGTCTTATCCTTTATGTCTCAACTCTATATAATGTCAAAGGAGCAGATTAAAAAATTCCAATTTTAGGGGTTCAATATATTTTGCTAGCCCAAAGCCTTGTTTGTCTTAAACTCAATCCTGCAGAAGTGGACCTTCTCAACCACCTAAACATATGTGGAGGAATATTTAAAACTGGCATCCATCATGCTAATCTACCATGCTAATCTATAATGATAATCTATAATGCCATCATGCTAATCTAGTAAAGAAATTAAGTAAGAATATGGTTCACAATGTTTTTTCCCCAAAGTCACCCCAGTGTACAAATTTGAACAAGCACAGTAAGTGTTATGAGTGAAGAGAATATGTATAATGCATGGCAATTTCAAATAAATACTTTAATTTTATTATTAGACTTGATTTCAAAATAAAAATGTTAAACTGAATGCACTGCCAATTTTCAGCAAAAATTCATCCATGTAAACAAAAAATTTAAATTGTATGTTTACAAAATGGAAACAGATAACAAATTTCTCCTCTTCAGACATACTTTTATATCTTTAACTGAAAATTTTAAAGCTAAATAGGTTGATGATACACAACCCTGGCAGGGAATCATTCACTATTGGACCACTCAGAATAAACTTAGATTTTTCTGTATTCACATCAGAATGATTTTTAAAATGTCTACTTAACATATATGAAATGTAAGAATAATGTACATATTTAAAAAGAGAATAGAAAGAATCTATTTAATAGTTACAATAAACCTCCACACTAATATAATGATACTCACTTTCTCAATTGCTTTAAATAATGGAATAAATATATCAGTGTTGTAATTTGACATTGTTCCTTGAATAACTGCAGTAAGTCTTTCAAAGCCCATTCCAGTGTCTACATTTAATGACGAAAGAGCTTTAAGCATGCCATCTGGCAACCTTTTAAATTAAAATAATAAGAATGATAATAATTAAACAATTATAATCAAAGTTAAAAACTAATAAATAAATAAAATACATATATTCAAATCAAATTAACCATGCTTAGAGAAACATAAAACTTTATTATATGAAAAGATGATAACCTAGATTTGAATGGACAAAGTACTATTCTAATACAAATAGTAAAGATTCTAATACAAATAGTAAATAGTAAAGATTTAGGTAATTAAGTAGACTCCACTTAAAATGTACAAATGTTTACTTTCAGTGCAAAGTAAAACAGATACCTGAATTAAAAAGTTTTCATGATTATTCAAATCACTGAAAACAAAAATGCCTAAAAATTTCTGCTGAAATAGAAAAATAAATTAAATAATCACCCTTATAAATAGATTTAAAAAATCATATATTAGAGCAATCTCTCAAATCATTTTAATTATGATCAATAAAAAAGTATTTTTTCAAAATAAAATACAAAACTTTGTTTTAAATTTATGATATGTAAGCATTATAATACAATGAATACCAAATATGAATACTGCATGTTCCATACTAGGACTAAACCTGCAAAATACTCATCACATCATCATGACCTGCAGTCCTTATATAATTAACATAATTGTCCTGCAGTCCTCACAACAAATAACTACATCATCAGTGTCATAACTAAAGACAGAATGTTCTAGCAGAAATGTAAAAAATCATAAATAAATGTCATTTCCTGCAGTCATTGTGTTTACCTCCCATTTTACTTCTTAATTTTTTTTTCATTTTTCTGCTTACCATTGTTTAATACCATTCACTAGTGATATAAGATAAATAAAAAATAAAGAAATAAAATGCTCTTCTTCTGTGAGGGAGGAAGAATTATTACTGACTAATTAAATAGCATGAATTCCTGGGGGGTGGGACTAAAGAGGATGAGTATTGAATTGTAACAAATTTCTTCTCTCAATTTCATTTGTTTCTTTGGATTGTCTATCACAATGTCCAGATATGGAGCCTGGAAAATTGTCATGTTTCTGTTGAATGAAACAGGATTAAATTAAACATCTTCTGTGCATTTTCACTAACAAAGCTGTATGAGCTCTTTTTTTCACAAATGAAAAAAGATTTTAAAAAAATCAGATCCCAGCAAGATAAGGATTCATCTTGTTAGCACAGTGAGGTACACTGCTAAGTGAATGATCAAGATGACTTATAAAATGGCCATCATTTTAACAAGGTCTCCTAATCTTACACAGATTTTTTGGAGGGGGTTTAAGTATGTTAAAAACAGTGTTTATACCCCTTTATTTCAGAACCATCAGAAGAACTTTGGAACCACGGTATAGCTGCTTTGGTGATCATCAGTGTGAATGCTTTACAATGCAAATGAGCAGAAACAGAGCACAGCTTCAATGTACATCATGTAAAAGAAGAAGCACATATTGAATATTTTATAGAGTATACCTAAACCAGAAAGATTTTTACTTCATTTTATGTAGTAATCAGTCTCTTTAATTTGCAATACTTTGCAAAACACAGGGTTTAGACACCGACGAATCATTTATAATAATTCTGTATACAATGATACTAAGAAAAAATTCAGTAGGAAAAAGATTAAATAAACACATGATTTTGATTGCTAGAAAAATACATAACCCTAGACTGACAGAAGAATGTGATGGGGGGAAGGGTAGAATTGAAACATATTGTTCTACCTGGCTTAAAATATCATATTATTTAAAATTTCTAAAAGAACACAATAAAAGGCAACTAGGAATTTTAGATAATTTAATAAGAACAAGTTATTAATATGCACTTCATTTTTATTTTCCATTATGCATTGTTAATATTAAATACTTTTGCTACTCTTAAAAACTCTTGTGAATTATTTGTAAAATCTTACATAATTATGTGAATAAATTTGCCACCACAATAAATTTCAGGAACTAGGGCAGTAACTTACTCATCATCCAAATCTAAGTGACAGGGCATTCATTTTGTTTAAAAAAGGATTCTCAAAGATAATACCATTTTGCCTGGCATTTATAACCTTAATAACCCACCGCAGTCCATGTTAATTCTTACACTTTAACATGAAACAAATATTTATTACAATAATAATAATCTTCACGCAAACGCATTTTTAAACTAATATTGTTAAAATTGCACACACATACACTAAATAACTAAGCTATTAATATGCATACATATTATTAATGAACTCTAAAAAAATATGTAGGTAACAGATTTATATCTATTCTTGTAGGCTATCTTCGTCATTGATTTTCAGAGACACATATTAAAAATGAAAAAACATGGAAATCATAGTTTTTAACTATTCTGCTTCTGTGTGACATGAATATTAAGAGCTTTTACATCTATATTACATCCGTTAGGTTACAATAAAATGATTATAAGCAATTAAAAACTACTTTCAAACACAAAAATTAATGTGCATTCAATTTTTTGCATATGCAGCATCCACATAGCTAATCTATATGTATGATAAAGATATATCATTACATTCTCCCAGCTATATTTATAGCAGACTGGATATTTTTGTTTTTTTTATTCCTGAGTAATAAATAATTCATTCAAGTGCAATAATTTTTAAGTAGAACTTTAAACTATTGTTATATTATTGATAATTTTTCATAAATTCATCTTTTAATTATAGGTTATTTATAAAAAAAATTTTAAATGTGTTTAAAAGATTTGTTATGAATTATTGAATAGATGATTTTTGCTGCATACAAAACTACCTCTATGTTTTCTGATAGTTTCCTGATTAACACTAAAATCATTCTATTGTGGTCTCCACCCACTTTTCAAAATTATTATTAAGAAAATTTAACTGTAACATTTTGATTGTTAATTGCAGTATAGAGTTGATGCACTTGAAGAGCCCACTTTGAGTATGAAACTTTTTCTGAAGAATTTGGGAGAAGTATTTTAAATATGAAGTTAAATTTATAACATTCCTGAAATTATTGGCCTTTGACTTCTGTGGTGATTTTGGCGAGAATGTTTATTTGACACATTCCTGCATTAGCAAGAAATAAATGGTTTCCTATCTATGCTTGTGCAAGAAACAAATGTTAACAGTTACAGATCTGTGCATGTGCATTTCTTTTACTGTAACTTTTTAAGTATGTATAACAGTTTTTGTGTGTGCTTGTAATTCCTGTTCCTGCAGACATAGAAAAATTTTACTTTTAAAATATAGCATCTTTTCACAGCAAATATTTGTTAACTTACTATTTTCAATCTAGAATCTACCAAAGATGCTTAGTTTCCTCCCCCCCAAAAAATGTATTTTACCAAGTGAGAATTACTGAAAAATAGGTGTAATATACAACAATACGTTGGAAAAGAAACCATTCAGTCATGCAATGTTCAGACACCAAGTTGGCCAATGTGTTTGAGGCATTATAAGAAGGAATTTCTAAGCTGTGGCTACCAGAAAGAGCTTGCAAAAAATGAATTTTATGGTATGTTTATGTATGTTATTTTTGAATAAACTGATAACAATAAATAGAATTTTACAATTTATTTAATTAAATATTATAATAAATCCAAATTTATATTAAATTCTTTCCATAAGTATATATTAAATAACTTATATTGTGTAGGTATTAAAGAATTAACATTTACCTTAGTCAAATTCATTTTGTGATTATCTATAACATCTGTCAACAAAGCCTGAGTTGCGTCAACACCACTCTCACTAGACCACTAGACAAGTACCAGATTATCTAACAGTGAATGCTAAATTCTAAATTTCAGAAAATTATACTTTGCTTATATTTCAACTGCTAAAACATAATCAGAAGCAAGTAAATAAATGAATTTTTGAGCTGAATAATTTTATGAATACTTAGATAAAAATCTAACCTGTTGTACTGAATGAAAACTAAATTCCATATTTCAATCAGATCAGATCTACCAGAGTTTATTCTTTGAGCAGCTGATTCAGAGCCAGAGGATAAAAAATCATAATGTATTTCAGTGCAAGGGCCACAAGGTCCTACATCACCCATTTCCCAAAAATTATCTTTTGTTCCAAAGGGGAAAATATGACTTGGATGAATGCTGAAAATAAATTTAAAAAATAATACTCAAATATAAATAACACAATATACTTAAAGAAAAGACATATAACAGATACTAAATAATTTTTTTAATAAAATCATTAACACATCACCGATTAATATACCTTAAAATAATCCACAAAAATAGCAGCTTGTGCTATTTTAATGAAATTTTCATGACAGAAACTAGACACGTAAATATGCAAGTGGTTAAAAAATTACAAAAGTGCACATTCCTATACATTTGAAAAGAAACTGGAGTAATGAAATCATATATGCATCAAGGTAAATTTGAACAAGACACAGAAGAGTATATCAGAGGCTAAAGTTTTTCTTATACACTGTGTTGTAATATAGTGCCATATTTTGTGACTATTAGATTTTTAGCTGTGCCACATTCAGTACATCAAGGGCGTTACAATTGTCATTCCATCATATTGCAACAAATGAAAAGTTTGGTGTCATTTATCACACTTTTCATTTTGATGGCTTTCATCAAAGGAATTGAAGCAAAAGTGTGCATTGTTACAACCAACTTGCTATTACAGCTAATTGAAGTAAAAATCAGCTCTATTATAGTCAACAGCAATAGCAGCCAACTTTTGGGCAATAATAATCAACAACCTTTTCCAAATTTAAAATGCATCACACTGCTGAACAAATAGTATGGCCACAGGTGTAAAACCTCTGAAACATATTGCTACAGTCAGAGAACTCAGGATTATCAATTTTCATCAGAAAGTGAGGTTTATCATGCTCCAAATTATTAGATATGTTTGGGTTCCATTAACTAATAAAATATATGATAGGTAGAAAATCCCAGTCAAGTGTTAACAGTTTCTCATTGCAAAAAATATACGAGACCTGACATTACTGTACTGGTAAATGATGCTATATATGTTCATTAATTTTGGCTATTTTTCTGCTGTTGCTTCTTTCTGTTTGTGCATCTAAAGAGAGTATTTAATTGAATTTATTGTTTTACCTTATAGAAGCAGTTTATACTAAATGATGCACATAAAATCCCACCAAACTGGAATTAAAAACTTTTTTCAGGTAAAGACTGGGCCTTGCTACAACTTATTATGGTGGAAACAGGAATGTTTATAAGTAATACTCTCTCACATCATCCAAAGTTCAACTCCAGAAATTATTCTTTTTAAAAACGCTTCACTCTCATTTCACTGAAGAAGCAAATCACTCACAAATGTTCTCTGCCAACTGATACAGAATCCACACTGATGTAAACAAGCTTCATGAGATGACTGATTTTATAACCATCCCTTGTGCAATTATATTTTGCATCCAATTATACGTGCCACCCCCATTTCGTATTTTTTGCACTAGAGAAAGCTGCCATACATGGAACAATATATTTTTCATTGCTAAATAGGATATAAGTCTTGCGACAAGCTGACCACTTGTCCATGGCATATGCTCAGGTACCTGGGGCCAACAGTCAGGAAAGCAGATATCGGAGCACTGCAGGGTATGGCACACTAGGGCTGTTGCATCACTGAGTTTAGTTTAGTTTAGAGAGGATATAAATCTTCTGATCTGCAAGCTGTTGCATACAAACATTTCCAAAGAAAGTGATTCTTATTTCGTAACAGTGGATGTCACAGTCTGTTAGCATCTTGTGAAGTAGTGCAAAATGAGACAACACCAAAAATGTGTTTTATTTATTTTATTTTATTTTATTATGGCAATACACATACACAAGGATATCCATAAAAGGAAGGGTTGCCTTTATTTAGAATCTTTTTAAGAGAAACTGGCTCATATCCACAGCACAACTTAGGAAACCTATGAAAACTGATGTAGCCAGCCCATTCATCAGGATTTAAATCCAGATCAAATTAACAGCATTTATCAGCTTTACCATTTAGGAACTGGTAAGCCCAAAAAGGGACTGCCTGCTAATATTTAAATACTTATTAATTGAATTTGGCATCACTTGCATTCTACAGTCAAAATGTTTTCTGTCATACTTAGTAAAGAAATAAAGGTATTGCCTATTAATATTTCGATACTTAATTAACTGAATTTGGAATCACACACATTCCATAGTAAAAATGTTCTCTGCCATGCTTAATATAGTCATTTTTAATTTTATGCCTCCCATTTAATCTCGTATGATTTTTATTGCAAAATTTATTGATGTTATTTTTTTCTTTTAGTGATTGCAATGCAATAAGTAAAGCTATCATTCCCTGCATTTGTTTTCATTTTCATTTCAAGTTTCTCTTTTTTTATGAAACCAACATAAATAAAGGAAGAAAATAATTACCAGCTGAAATCTGGTAAAAAGGAAAAAAACAATTGAAAAAAAAATACAGGAAAAGAAAGGTTTATTGTACTGGGTCAAGATATGAAGCCAGAAATAAGCCGAAATGCACCAATATGGTGCTAAAAATACATGGTATGGGTTTTACAGGAAAGTACCAAAAGAAATACAGAAAACAGAACAGTTCAATAGCTTACCCAATATCAAGCCAAATATTTTTACATTCTTCATCAGGTGGCACTCCAAGTTTACTGTCTCCATTAAAATAAGTCACATAAAGATTCTCTGAATTTAGACCATAAATTTTGGTTAAAAGCTCCCATGCCATTTCACAAGCTTCTTTCTAAACAAAGGAAAGAAAGTGAAATGCTGAATATTGAAGAAAAATAATCAGCATCTGTGTAAATAATAAGTGAATTATATACAGAGATAAACAGAAAATTGAGGCAATTTAAATCGACAAAAAATTTTCTTAACATATAAAAACAAATTTTATTTTAATGACAATGATACAAAATTTACTAATTGTATTTTAATGATAATTATATAAAATATACACAAAACCAAACCAGTCCCTTTCTTTTGTTAATTTACTTGTACATTCATTTAATTCCAATTTTTTATGGTCATATAATGAGATGTCTGATAGCACCAAAAACTATTCTGATTACCTTAAACATTCTGTTAAAGAAAGAAAATAACATTGATCAGAATAATGAGATAAAAGTTAAACATAAAGACATTAGAAAAGGTCATATGGTTAGCAATTTTTTAAAATTTATTTATTAAATATTAACTAAATTTATTTATTAAAAGTATTTTTGGCTCAAAACACTGCTTTCATATTTTGACATTGAAATCCACTGTGATAACAGTTTCTTAGTTTGCAAATGTTCTCATAGTTTGCTAATATATTTCATTCTGACACAGCATTTTATTAGCTTTTGAAGAAATTTTACTGTGCAACTCAGAATAAATGGCGTGGCTTGCTGTCTGCTGGAGTTTTACGGTTTCACGACAATGCCATTTGTGTGCAATGCTAAGTTTGTGAGGTTCACTGAAATTAACTTTTTATTATTTTTTATTTTAGCAAAAATAGATTATTGTGTACATGAAGAGGCCTGCAGAGAGGTATGTGTGTTTTTTATAGAAAAAGAAAAATGTAAACAATAGACGGCACTTAATGCATCTTTGAAATAGACATAAAGATACTGAAACAAATATTTCTCCCTGAAACTGCCAACCAGTTCATGACTTTTCTGGTTGGGGTGCAGATGATCAGAAAATAGCAAAAAGGACAATAAAATTGGAATACAGTATTCCTGCGTATATAAAATGCACTCTTAAATTTTACCTTTAATTTAATTTTTAAAAAAAAATCTCAAGGATAAGCTGTGAGTAGCCCGTCTACCACCTACAATGTGTGGTTTTTTTTTTTTTTTTTTTTTTTTTTTTTTTTTTTCCCATTTTGGAGGTGTGAAAGCGACTAAAGCGAACCAGATCTTGTTTTTCCAGTCACATAAGATAAAAAATCCATCTTCCAGTTGAGGAAACTTAATTGCTTTTCCATAAAATGCTTTCTTCTTGCTGTTTGTTCTTTGAAGTTCATTCTTCCGCTTTTCCAGTATCGCAAGTTGGATTCACTCACATCAAAATAATGTACTGCAGCTCAGTTCCCATTTTCTCACAAAATCAGATAACTGGAAGTATAAAAAGTACAATGTAGCTAAATTGTTTAGCTTAGTATCCTTTGTGCTAAATTTGACATTTTCCTTCAAACGAGTTGCAATTCCAATTAAATTTGCAGAATCCTATGTACATCTCAACAGCAATATATAATCCTACCCAACAGCAATGGATTTTATATTCGACCATTAAATATCCATTGCTATGCTGCATACACTGCTGTATTGCAAGATACTTATATGTACCTATTTCTAATGCTTCATTCCACACCTATTCTTTTTAGCACAAAGGAGCATTAACCCAGTCTCAAAAAGGGTTTTGCATTGAATCACTATAAAAGTCTGAATTACTTTTCAAATTGTTCCCACCAAATATAGGGTCATATAAAAAATCTCCACACTTTTTTGGTACATTTTTGAACAAAAATTTTCTTTACTGAAAATCAATTTTAATCAAGTACATATTGACGATTATTATCTATGATCTTTTGTCATTTTTCGGGTAGCTTCATAATTCCATCAGCGTAGAACTTCTGTGGATTATCTTGGAAAAACTTGGGCAAGTGATTTTCAGCTGCTCTTCGGTCGGCCAATTTTTTTACCATCAAGAGAGTTTTGCAGAGATCGAAGAAAATGGTAGTCAGACGGTGCGAGGTTCAGGCTATATGCTGGATGCATCAAAACTTCTCGACCAAGTTCCATCAATATTTTCTAACTCATCAAAGATTTGTGTGACCATGCATTGTCATGCTGGAACACAACTCCCTTTTTTTTGGCCAATTCTGGTCACTTTTTCTGTATTGCTTCATTCAAACGTTGAGTTGTGTAAAGTACAGGGCCGAATTGATGGTTTCGCCAGGTTGCTATTTATGTGGCACCCAAACATTGTGCTTCTTTTTGTAACCTGCTCTTTTCAAATGATTCCAAACCGTCATATGGTTGATGTTTAGTGCTTCTGCTATTTCCTGACAGGTTATGTGCCAGTCTTGCTCCACCAGTTGCAAAATTTCATTGACGTTTTCAGCGACTGGCCAACCACAGGGAGATGTGTCTTTGATATTGAAATTTCCAGAATGGAATCGAGCAAACCATTTCCGAGTCCTTCGTTCACTCACAGCATTCTCACTATACACTTCACAAATTTTTCGGCATGTTTTTGCAGACTTTTTACCTGTTTCATAGTAAAAAAGCGTTACACAATGTATTTCTTCTGATATTTCACTCATTTTCAAATCAATATAACTTTTTACACAACAAATTAGAAAACTATTTTCAGAAACAATGGGAGCTGAATGTCACCTTTTAAGCACATGTTCATTTAAGACAATTGGGTGAGTGTTGCCAGATACAGGGTGATTATAATTAAAGTTTAAGTTTCAAAACGCTATAAAAAAAGAACCACTCATGAAAATGACGTCAAAATTGAAAGGAATGTTATTGAAGAAAGCGGAAATCGTATGGCAGAAGAAAAAATTTAGTTTCAAAAGTTAGCAACAGATGGCGCTGCAAGCAGAAGAAGACGTAAATTAAAATGCTAGTTAAATTTCAGTGTTATAAAGCCGCCAGGTACCAGGCTGTTCCTCAATTCGCGTCTCAGATGTTCGCCATGGGTGTTTCACTGCAGGACCGCGCTCTGCTGGTAAAGCTGTATACAAGAATGATGATTGTGCAAGAGTAGCTTCTGCAAAAATTTCAGGACACTGAAGGGTATAAAAGAAGGCGTTGGTCCAATGAGTGTCGTAGGTCTAAAGAAAATGAATGCAAAAATTCGAAAACGACAGGTTCGTTTGATGTGCAATCTGGTAGAGGGAGAAAACGAGTGCATTCGACGGTAGTTGAAGAAGTGGCCACAGCATTACAGGAAGGGTCGGCCGGTGGTGTGCAACCATGCAGTGCACGAGGAATTGCTCGAACATTTGACAGGCCTACAAGCACAGTGCTGAAAATTGTACGAAACATCCTGCAATGCTATCCGTACAAAATTGGCCATGTGCAGGAGTTGCTTCCGTCTGACCTGACAGCTAGGGAGACGTTTACGTTAGAATTCCACGATCGCATGGAAGTGGATAATTAATGGCCGTGGAAAATTTTGTGGACAGATGAAGCCCATTTCCATCTGACAGGATACGTGAATACCTAGAATTGTCGAATATGGGCAACAGAAAATCCACTGGCAACGCACCCCGTACCACTTCACGGTATGGTGTGGCTTTACGGCATCATTCATCCTACAACCATATTTTTTCGAGCAGACGGGTGCTTCCGGTCCTGTTACCGAAACCGTCACTGGTCAGAGGTATGCGTCTCTTTTGCGCAACCACGTGATTCCAGCTCTGCAACAGCGTGGATGTGTGGATGAAATCATTTTTATGCAAGATGGCGCTCCTCCGCACATTGCACATCTCGTGAAGCAGCTGCTGAGGCGCCATTTCGGAAATGCTCGAATTATCAGCCGTCATTTCCCTACAGCCTGGCCGTCTCGATCACCTGATCTTACTCCGTGTGATTTCTGGCTGTGGAGATATCTGAAGGATGTTGTGTTCCGCGCTCCAATTGCAAATTTAGCAGAATTAAAGGCACGCATTCCGCAACACATTCTGAACATCACCCCGGAGACACTGCGATCCGTTATGGAACATGCTGTTTGTCGCTTTCAACTTGTTGCACACAACGGTGGACACCATATTGAACATGTTTTGCGCCAGTTCCGAACTTCTTTGATGAATGGTTCTTATGCGGTATGTCGCCACAAAACTCTTGAAACCGATTTGTCCCTTTCGATGTGATATGTACAGTCATGCAAATAAAATTATTCAACAATTCTAATTTATCAATGCGTTTTAATGTGTAACTTCACCTTAGCCGTTGTTTTACGAATCATTTCTCATTTCTCGTCGTGATTCTGTCGCTTACAGCGCCATCTGTTGCTAACTTTTGAAACTAAATTTTTTCTTCTGCCATACGCTTTCCGCCTTCTTCAGAAACATTCCTTTCAAATTTCACATCATTTTTCATCACTGTTGTTTCTTTTTTTATTGCGTTTTGAAACTTAAAAACTTTAATTATAATCACCCTGTATATAGGCATCACCACCATCTAGTGGTAAAAATACGCTGAGACTTTTTATCTGACTCACTATTATCGTCCTGTATTATATATAAAAAATTAAATAATAAAGAATTTGCATAAATGTATGCATGCATGTTTTCTGCATTGTGAAAAACAATGGTACCTAGAGCCATTACATTTTTAATAACGTAGTCCTCCACCCGAATAAGGACACCTCGAAGCTCAAATTTTGAATTTGCTTTATTGCGCATTTCATATTTTGTAAAACTTTAATGAATTTTTTATTAAACTCAATAATTTCAGGCGAGCAATGGCATATTTTTCCCGCACTATGGCAACACTATACGAGGAAAAAACACTTATCTCCAGTGGGTGAAACTGTCTATTGGAAATTCTAAAGATAAGCTGCTTTAAAATATTTTAAGCCAAAATGCTCTCCAAATGTGTATGCGTATGTAAATGAAACAAACACCCCTTTGAGCATAATATAAAATCAGAAAGCTTTCCTTTTTTTTATGGAAAAAAAGTGTGGCTTATACATAAAAGAGTACAGTAATTTCCATGCTGTAAGGATGAAATTACAAACCAGCTCTTTAAATATACATCCCATGTAATAATCTTTCAAATACTTATATTTACCAGTGTCTTTTTTAATGTGCATGTTACGTTAATGGGAACTGAGTGAGTGAGTGAGTGAGAGATTATGCCACAAAACAAAGATGATTATAGTGCGCCAAACACAAGATGGGATGATTACAAATGATGAAATTAAAATACAATAAATAAAAAGAAGTATACAAATGTACCAAATCCAGAGGATGAAGTCATATAAAAACAAGTTAAAAGCACACATTAAAATTCAAGACACAGTCTTCAAAACAAATTACATTAGATAATAAAAGCCAGTCTCTTAAATAATAAAATAAATTGCAATTGACCTCTCTTCCGATTAAATGGTCGAGAGGTAAGTCACAGCTACTAAAATATTTCTGGCGAAGACTATTAAAACATGGACACTCAATTAAAATATGACGAACAGATAAACAAACATTACAATTAAAACAAACAGGCTCATTTTCAGCTTTGAGAAGATAGTTATGTGTCACTCTAGTGTGACCAATTCTGAGGCGAGTCAAAAGAACTTCCTCCTTATGATTTCCATCAAAATCCCAATGCTCAATTCTAGGCTTTACATTTCTCAACTTGTTGTTAAGCTGAACGTCCCAAATTTGCTGCCATTTTTCCCGGATCTTTCCCTTGATGACACAACAGATGTCTCTAAAAGGGATTAGGCGACTGGACAGTTCAACAGCAGATTTTGCCGCGATGTCTGCAAGCTTGTTTCCCTTTATTCCCGTATGCCCAGGAACCCAGCAGTACAGGATTTCATATCCTCGAATCTTTAAATTTATATGAATTTTAAGAACATCCACTACCACAGGATTTTGAGTGTTGGGAAAAGCTTCCAAGGATTTAAGAGCACTATACGAGTCTGTATAAATTATGAACTTTGTGTGGCAGAGCTTTGAGATGTACAAAAGACCATAATAGATTGCAGTTAGTTCAGATGTTAAGACTGAGAAACCCATGTGCAAACGTCTGCCCTCTATGTGACCTTGAAATACAAATGCCATCCCAACATGATCATCTGACTTGGATCCATCTGTGTATACTGGAAGATAACTGCTAATGGAAACAAAACTAGCAAGATAAATCAGTTGACTGCCAAAAATATAATCATCACTTTATATATTTTATTAAATGCTTATCTAATTGCATAACATTGCTGACAGAATAGTCTGGGTTTACACACAACATAATTTATTTTCAACAATAAATACACGAATTATCTTATTAGCACTTATCAAATTATACAAAAAAATTAAAATTTAAAAAATTAACTCCACATGTATAATTTTACAGCCTAGTTACAGCATCAAAAATCCCACATATCAAAAACGAAAGAAGGGGGAAAATGCAAAATTATAGCATTTAATACTTCAGAAATGGAAAATAAGACTTTGTATCTAAGAATTGATTTACATTATACAAACAGAAAAACAATTACCTTTGAATAGTCACCAAATGACCAATTTCCAAGCATTTCAAAAAATGTATGATGATGAAGATCTTTGCCAACATCAGCCAAATCATTGTGTTTTCCACTTAAACGAATGCATTTTTGACTATTAGCCACCCTCTTTAATCCATGTAAAGGATGTCCAGTGTGTGTTTTATTCATCAGCAAGGATCGAAACTGCATTAAACAAAAAGTGCATGTGAGCAAATTTTATATTTCAATTCAATAAGAAAATATAAAAATTTGGTTCTTATATATTTTACTGCTAACCATTTTTGGCAATGTCTTTGAACAGTATAATTTAATATTAATGTGAATAAGTTTGGCATCACTACAGACTCATAAGAACTTTGTTGGTTTTATATAACCCGGATCCTCAGTAAGTCAGGCTGGGTTTTACAATGAAGTTACAATTGCTCTTTTTCTCTATTGCATTTGATAACTTTTTTATAATTTTGAAATAGAAACTTTTTTTCATTTATTTGCATTTTCTAATTGGAATTCCATCTTTTATACGCTCAACTATCCAGAATTTTTACATATCTGAAATTCAGCCTTTCCGGATAGTGGAACTTTTACCGAACCAAAAAATAATTCTTAAGATTTAATAAGTTATATTATATCTTGTAATTTTCTCAAAGACATTTTAATAAAAATTTGTTTCATATTTCACAAAACATAAACAACACAAATTGCAAATTGAACGATGAAAGTAAAACTTTTTATTAATCATCTTACCACACCTTCCAATAAAAAGGATAAAATCCCATTTTATTTATATGAGAATACAATAATCATTTATTGTATGCTAAAACAGTAACAATTTAAGTATTATAAAATAAAATAAAGGGAAATTTTTTTAATTCACATGTACAGCCAAAAGACAATTTTGTGTTGGTTGTCTATGAGGATTATAATTTTTTATATGCTTTATTTCATATTACTTAAACATGTTTTTATCATCATAACATTAAGTGTTCAGATAATAATCATATGTTTACTTGTGTCACTAAAATGAGTAATGTGATAACGGTATAACCAAAATCAATGTAGTTGAACTTTGATAAGCAGAAACTGGAAAAAGCAGAAAAACAAATTCCAAGAAATTAAAAAAAGTTATGCTAACAAAACTTTACTAAACTGTACTTGGAACACAACTAATATTTTACATACAAAGAGATGATTTAAAAGTTTTAAAACTATCTTTATTGCTTTTTGTCAATATTAGAGAAAACAACTCTGTATTGGTTTTGTAATGGTATAAGGCAGGGTTCCTTAAACTGTGGGGAGTCGCAACCCACAGTTTAAGCAAAAATTTTAGCAGTTTTGATATTTCTTATTATAATAAATTTACAATTACCAAATATTTTTACATAATGTATCTGAAAATAGATAAATATAAGACAATACAGACAAAGAAAAACACAAAAACGTTTCGAAGCATCCCTTTTATAATATAAACGTTCCTTTTCCTTGCTTTGCACGTGATGCTGCCATTTCATCTGTTACTTATTTAAAATTTTCTCATTGTTCTAGGTCTTAAAATGAGAAATTAAAATTAATGACCTAAAACTGCAATAGTATATTACAGTACAAGTGAAAAAATTGACAGTTTCACTCATGTGCGAGTCGGATTATTTGTGCAATACTTATGGGGGTCCCACAAAATTTTTGTAAATATTATGGGGCCCTGGGGGTCATGAAGAAATCTCTGTGATAAAAAGGGGTCGTCACTGAAAAAAGTTTAAGAAACCCTGGTATAAGATATTCATCCCGCCTTCTTAACATATCTTCGTGGTGTAGGGGGTCAGCACACTCAGTGCGTATTTGAGAGGTCCGAGGTTGAGTCCCAGTGAGGGCAACATTTTTCATGTCTCTTGCTTCAAAAAAATCCTAATGTCTCAACAGTGATGCCCGAATTTAAAAAAGTGGTGGATGATGATTCTCCACCACCAGGATTTGGCGATCGGATCCCCTATTCCCCAGTCGGCCTTTAAAAGGGAGAGTATATAAGATATTTCTACCTCCTTCTTAGCATGACTTCATGGTGTAATAAGTCAGCCCACTCAGCGTGAATCGAGAGGTCCGAGGTTCGAGTCCTGGCGAGGACATTGTTCATTTTTCATGTCTCCTGCTTCGAAATATCCTAATGTCTCTACAACGGTTAAACAATAATACATTTGAACCTGTTCCTTAACAAGCACTGCCTTTAGTATTTGAGAACTGTGAGTAGAAGCACTTAGGACGTTTTGATATGAGTACAGAAGATGTTTCTATGATTATACTGCAGAGATGCAATTGAATTTTTGTCTTAAAAGTGGGAAAGTCATAATGAAATACCTGATATGTTTAGAATATGCATTTGGTGATAAACCCCATAGCAGACAGTAAGCCATTAGCGAGTGACCATTATATAAATACCTCAATTCACTTATTAGTCCATAAGGGCTTTGTCCCTAAAGGACTACTTTTTGGGGAGGGGATTTTGCATTGGTTCACTATAAATGTCCATTTCACTTTGCAAACTGTTGCCACCAAATTTTAGAGTCCTGCATCATATTTGAAGAAATTAAATAATGAAAAATCTGCATAAATGTATATTTCTTGCATTGTATATAGTCAAAAGTCGTTCATCCGGACTCGACGGGACTTCAGCAATTACGGATTACTGATTTTTCCGGATTATAGATCATCAGTTTAAATCTCATAAGATAGCATGCAGAAATTATAAAATTAAAAATATGAAACCGTAATTTATGAAATAAAAAACAATTATGATCTAAAGGGTATCAAAATTTACAAAAAAAAAAAAAAAAAAAGCTTAGCATTTATTTGTTTACTTTATTAAACATTTCTTTCAATGTAAGTTGTTTCGTTTTATGTCATAATACTTTCTCTTTAATTCTATAAACAGACATAATTTCTTGTTCAGTTACAAAGTTCCGCTGTTCAAGTCCCGTTAATTGCTGTGCCGAGAATACCGACTAACTTGTCAATCGAAATTTTTTCATTTTCACAACCTCTCTGTCATATTCATGTGTTTATCCATTTTTTGCAGCAATTCCACTTTTTGTTTGATGGACATGGAAACATACTTTCGTTTTGTATGATCCTTTGGGAGCTCCAGAATGGGAAATTCTATTTGACATAATCGAAAGTTCAAGTTTACTTTTATAGTATTGCTGTTACAGTCTGCAAAAAATAATAAGCCGGATCCAATTCGAAGATTAAGGAACAACGCAATAATCAACATTAACTGAAATAGATAATTAGATAATTTTAGCATATACCATCCCTTATACATAAAACGTGCACGCGAAAACGTATTCTGCGCTTATGCACACGCGTATGCGAAAACGTAAAAGGTCTTGCGTGCACACGTAAACGCCTATGCGCATGTGTCAACGCGGCGCATGAGCAGAAAGTTTTTAGCTTTGAGGTCTGGATTATGGGTGTCCGAATTAACGACTTTTGACTGTATACAGTATAAAGTCTGTAATCCGGACTCGTCGGGACTTCAGCGATTCCGGATTAGGTTTTTTTCTGGATTATAGATCATCAATTTAAATCTAGTAAGATGGTATACAATTAAAAAATTTGAAACCGTAATTTATGAAATAAAGAGCAATTATGATCTAAAGAGTATCAAATTTTACAAAAAAAAAAGAAGCTTAATATTTATTTGTTTACTTTATTAAACATTTCTTTCAACGCGTGCATGTGTAATGTATGCGCATGCGTAAAGTTTGTGGCTTTGAGGTCCGGATAATGGACGTCCGGATTACGGACTTTATACTGTAAAACACAACAGTACATAGAGCCATCGGATTTTGAATGACGTAATCCTACTGCAAATATTGGCATATGGAAGCACAAATTTGAAATTTGTTTTATAATTGATTTCATATTTTGTAAAATTTTAACAAATTTTTCATTAACAAACTCAAGAATTTCAAAGCGAGCAACGATTTCAGCATTGTACAGAAAAAATACTTTTATCTCCAGTGCACAAGACTCTGTATCGGAAATTCTAAAGTTATGCTCAATTTAAAACTATTTTGCAATATTGCTCTTGAACTGAATTTTATGTTTTAAGTGCGAAGAACATATTTAATAAATAAAGGAAACAGACAAAATGTTTAAAAAAATGCCCCTTTGGACGGAATTTAAAATCTGAAACCTTTCAGATATATTTTTTGTTGTCGTTGTTGTTTTTAATTTCATTGGTTTTTATCAGCAGTGATTTACACAAAGATTTCCCTAATCGGAGTTCACTCCCAAAACACCATCTGCCTGTAGCAATGAGGAAGGAAAGAGTGTACATGCTAAAGAAAGTGTGTTGCTCAAGGACAACTAAATGGTGCTGGCATTGCAGACGCATAGCTAGAGTTTCCAGCACCCAGTTTGTGTCCCAAGAACGGAAAACATTTCTTGGTACTTTTCCGTTTTGCCGATGCAGACGATAAAGTTGCCAATAATGGTACAAGTGATGCCAAACGGAATATCCTCGCTGCTAACCTTTTACTCTTCATTTTCTAAACAATTTCAATACAATTACATAGAATTTTTACCCGATAGTTCAATTTTATGCCCTAAGGCCATTCATGGGCAGTAATTAAGTGAATGTGAATTAGGATGCAATAACACCGCTCACCCGACGGCAAAAATATAGAAAAAAACAAAGGGTTAAATTGATAAATTCTAATGAGAATGCACTAGTGAAGTAAAGCACTGCGGTTTTACATAATTTCTGAGTAAGCTATTTGTACGAATTGAAATAATTCTTGCATTTAAACTTGTATTCCAAATTAAGATTTAACTTGAAATTAATGTAGATAATTAGTGAAAGAATTAGATTTTTGTAGCGTAGTTTATGTGAGATGAGATCACTTGGGGTCACGTGATATGAACCAGCGAATCAAAATGTGGTACCATAAAAGCATAGTAAATTATTAAATTAATGTCTTTTTACAAATTTATTGGCTTCTTTACAAAATTTTAAACAACATTAAAATCTTTATACATTCAAAATAAGAAATTCTTAGAACTAACAATTATCAACATTTTTTATGTGTATACTGTGTGTTGTCGCTAATAAGATCTGTCTGGCGAGATTTGTGGCGGCGAAACAGAAAAGTACCCATTTCATTAAAAAATTTCATTGCATCAATTTGGTGCCCCTTGGATGCTGCACCTGGGGACAGGTGTTCCCCCTTGCCCCACCCTAGCTACGCCACTGTGGCATTGACCACAAAGTCCGAAAATGATTTGGCTCTAGTGTAGAATTGGCTGCGCTTTCGATTGGTAACAAATTTTGTTTAATTTTGGTGATGAAACCCCATTTCTGGTTATCATGATAGTTTTAACTTGGTTTCAGCTTTCTGATTTTTTGAAGTGAAAATAGATTGATGTGTACATGGACACCGAGTTTGTGCAATTCTTTGAATTCTTATTTTGGTTTGGTTGGATCCTAGCACAGCCCACACCTTTGGCGCGAATGATTTTGGTTATGGTGCGTATTGATGTGTACATGGACAAAGGAAGTATGCAATGCCACGTTTGTGCAAGTCTCTTATTTTTTTAAGTGAAAATAGGTCGATGTGTACATGGACACCGAGTTTGTGCAATTCTTTGACTTGTTATTTTCAAGTTCACATGAAAAAATAAAAAATAAATACTCCTGTGGCTACAGAAGATGTCACATATTTCATTGTCACATTTCTAGCGTCTCAGTCTTCAATAAATTACTGTGAAAAGAATCCTAACTCTCTGCTATTCAATTACGGCAGAGAACTCTGCATTTATACGACCAGCACATAAAAATAGCATATTACTTGGATCTGATCTAATAATACATAACTACTTGCCTGATTCATACCAGCATTAACGAATAACAAGGAAGGATCGTTATTCAAAAATACTGGACTAGAATGTACATAAGTATGATTCTTTTCTTTAACAAAATAGTCCAAAAACAACTGTCTGACTTCTCTTGCCGAAATTTTCTCAGTTTTCAGTTCTAAAGTTTTATTTTGATAATGCCGACATATATGAAAGTATTCATTTAGCCTCAGTAAACGGGAAATTCCTCGTTTGTCAAATATCCTTCCAGCATAGATGAAACCCATATTCAAGGTAAACAGATACTTAATTCTTAAATGTAATGCACAGCATTCGATCTACAAAATGTTATATATTCCAAAGTGTTCAAACAAATCGATATTGAAACATGTGTATCATAAACTAAACAAAAATACGAAATTTCTCCCGAAATCATCAGTATAACACATTAGATATCGAGTTGGTTTGATTTCGGACGCATTGGCGCCATGCGATATTTTTGTCAACAAACACCAGAGTTGATACATGTTGCCAGATGATTAAAGTCGTTTTCCTCGCAAAAAATTTTCCGCAAATCCTAAAGGCTATGTTAGGATTTCTTCTCAGATTAAAAGAATTTATAAAGATAGGAAACTTAACATTAAATTGCAAAACGCGAAGACAAGCTTCTAGAAAACTTGACAATTTGTGAACGATCCTGAGTTAACAGTTTAGTTCAATACAAATCAGGACTCGAAACTGCAGAAGAAAATATCTCCGAAGTTGTCTCCCGAGTATTTTTCATCTCTAACCATTGACCACTGAAGGCAGCTGCTGTTTGCTTAATACTGATTAAATATTGGTGGATATCACTCTATTGGGAATTTAGGCCTATGGAGTCAATATTTTTCGAAATTCCGCAAATTAGTGTCGCTGATATGGCGAGAGTAAAGCTCCCTGGTTTGGTCTGTAATACATGTGGCAGGAGCTCTTGCTTAGTAACTAGAACACGTTTCCAGAAAATAATGAAGATCCAGTTTGAAATAAATTGCACGGAGTACTAATCTGTAGCAATTATTTCCCTAAATAAGATGCAAAAATACAATATATTCTTTATATTAACAAATGAGATCTAAATGCAAACACACTTGATAATTAATTGATAATAAACATTTTTCAGTATTTATTATTCTAGTCCTTGAGCTAGGATACGATTCAAAACCCAAATGTAACAAGTATCTATAGTAATATAATATTTGCGAAATCTTATTCACAGGTCTGAAGGAGTTTCGGTCGGTGAGGATAAGTAAATATACTCTTAATTTAGTCCTAGGTGAACAATTTTCTTTCTGTAAGAGTCTGTTCAGCTCCGCTGAGTCACAAAGCTGTGTGTTCCCAATTTTGAGTTCCAGTATGTTGTCCATGGTCTTTTCACAACATTCTCATTTGTTTGGTCGTAGTCTGCAACTCTTGATAGATGTTGTGGTGTTGCCATGGAAACACCGTACGAAGTTTTGTGAGTTCTGCGCATGCGCGCCTCGGATTTGCGGCAGATGGTAAGGAGAGAGCGGTGTGTATGGAGCGGGAATTTCCCTTCTCATCGGAATGTTATTATCGATGTGTAAAATAAAGATTACATATTTTATACTTGTGTCTTGCCTCACCATGGAGCTCCTACATTGGTGACTGACGTTGGACAACGCACATCTTTTGCTTGTTTTTTGGAATCTGGACAAAATACGAAAACGAAACTATCCAAACATCATAAACAATGGATGAAATATCTGCAGTGAAAATACCTCCTTTCATTCCTTCTGATCCATCTCTGTGGTTCACGATGGTGGAAATCTACTTTTAAATTAGCAGGTTCCAAAAGGCTATAACAGAAATCCAGAACCAAGTATAACCACTGTGTTGCGCATTTACCTCCCAACATCGCTATGACCGTGAGGGATATCATCATTTCTCCTGACCAAAACGGATCCATATGGAAAACTGAAGAATGAAATCATTTCTCGCAGTGGTGAAAGTAAATCGCAGGAAATACGTCGTTTACTTGCTGGTGAGCAACTAGGGGATCGAAAAGTCGTCTGAACTCTTACGCGTTAAGCAGCGGCGTGCAGAAAATCATAACATGACGGATACTTTTGTTTGGGAATTATTTCTGCAGCAACTACCTCCAAATGTGCAATCTATTTTAGCATCAATCACCCCTCTAACCACACAAAAGCCTGCTGAAATAGCAGGATAAAATAATGGAAGTGTCATCTGCTCAGGTGAAGTGTAGTTTCTGATTCTTGTGCATCATCTAGTGTTACACACCGAACTCTGAACTGCTTAAAGAGATAAAATCGCTTTTGCAAGGAAGTTGCATGTCTACGACGTTCAAGAAGTCAGTCTCGTAATCGTAATTTTCGTCATGCATCAAATCGTGAGAAATCTGAAAAAAGTGATCTATGTTGGTACCACCAAAAATTTGCTTCTAGAGCAAAAAAGTGTACCCCACCCTGCAATTTTCAGGGAAATTTCCAGGGCAAGGAGTAGCGGCGACATACGCCTCGCCTTCTAGTTCTCGTCGCCTATTTGTTCGTGATCGCAAAACCAATATTAATTTTTTAATTGATACCGGTAGTGATTGTTCCTTAATTCCAGCCTCAAGATCTGATAAACTGACTACTCCTATTCAAACTTTTCTGGCTGCAAATGGTACTAAGATAAATGTATATAAACAAAAGTTATTATCTTTAGATTTAGGTTTAAGAAAACAGTTTGTTTATCCTTTTTATGTATACAATGTTCAAACTGCTATAATTGGTGCAGATTTTTTACATTATTTTAACCTACAACCATATATCTTAGAAATCGTCACTTAAACGATACTTACACCAAATTAAATTCTTATGGTATTTTACATGTTGCTAGTATTTATTCAGTGAAATCTGTAATTTGAAATAATGATTATGCTAAGTTGTTAAATGAATTTCTCCGTATTGTTCAAGCTTCTTGTGCAAACCAAATTGTCAAACATTCAGTTCAGCATCATATTGAAACTTTGGGCCCTCCCGTTTTTGGCAAACCACGTGGCTTGCACCCGATCGTTTGAAAATTGCAAAAATGGAATTTCAACATCTGTTAGATTTAGGCCACATTCGCCCATCCAACAGCAATTATGCTTCGCCATTGCATATGGTCCCTAAAAAAGATATGAATGATTGGCGTCCTGTCGGTGATTTTAGAGTCCCTTAATGCTCAGACTAAAAAGGACAAATATCCAATCCCTAGTATTATTGATTTCACAAGTGAACTCCATGGGTGCAACATATTCTCCCATGTAGATTTAGTCAAAGCATTTCATCAAATTCCGATTGCTCCCGAGGATGTCCATAAAACTGCTATCTGCACACCATTTGGACTTTTCGAGAGTACTCGGATGCAATTTGGTTTGTGCAATGCATCAAGCACTTTTCAAAGGTTTATCGATGAAGTGACGAGAGGTTTAACCGGTGTATATGCATTTATTGATGATATTTTGATTGCCTCAAAAAGCCACAAAGAGCATATTAACAATCTACGAGCTCTCTTTCAAAGGTTAGATCATTATGGTTTAGCAATCAAACCCTCAAAGTGTACATTTGGAGTTCCTACCTTAGATTTCTTAGGATATAAAGTCTCTAAAGAAGGTATTTCTCCCATTCCAGATCGAGTTGATGCCATTTCTAAATTTCCTAGACCAACAAGCTTAACACAGCTTCGCAGATTTCTTGGCCTATTCAATTTTTTATCGCAGATTTGTGCCACATGCAGCGCACATTTTGTCACCTTTAATTAAGCTTCTCGAAGGTCATTCTAACAAAAAGAAATCATTCCGTCCAACTAAGAAGACTGAAAATCCTCTTCCGTGGTCTGAGGACGCCGAAAAGGCATTTTTAGCAGCTAAAGAAGCTCTTACAAAAGCTACCCTCTTAAGACATCCAATTCCTGGTGCTCAACTCAGTCTTTGGACCGATGCATCTGATGTTGCTATTGGCAGCTCTCTCATGCAACTCCAAAATGGTCAATGGGAGCCAATAGCATTCCTTTCTTTAAAACTGAATAACAGTCAACGGAAATGGTCTACATATGACCGCGAACTTCTGGCAATATATGAGTCTATCAGGAAATTTCGGCACATGTTGGAAGGTCGCAACTTCATCATATTTACCGACCAAAAACCACTAACATTCGCTTTCAGACAAAAAGCAGAAAAGTGCTCTCCTCGACAATTGAGACACCTTGACTATATCTCTCAATTTTCTACTGATATACAATATGTTAAAGGTAGGGAAAATGTTATTGCTGACACATTCTCCCGAATAGAAGTAGATTCTGTTTCTCGCTCACCTATTCTGGATTTCAAACAGTTAGCCTCAGCACAACTTACAGACCATGAACTACAACAATTACTAACTTCTAAATCTTCTTCTTTGAAGCTCTCCAAACAGTATTTTCCGCTTGAAGATATTTATCTCTATTGTGACTTCACAACCAATGTCCCTCGTCCTTTCATTCCCTTTTCATTTAGACCTAGCATCTTCCAAAGTATTCACAACCTTTCGCATCCAGGTATATCTGCCACTTCAAAATTGATCCGCAGACGTTACATTTGGCCTAACATGCACACTTTTATCAAAAACTCTGTGAACGCTTGAGAGAAATGTCAACGTTCCAAGATAAACAAGCATACAAAATCACCCATTTCGACATTTTTACTTCCTAATGCCAGATTTTCTCATATTCACATAGATTTTATTGGCCCATTACCAATTTCTGAAGGTTACCAGTATTGCTTAACCATAATCGATCGTTTCACGCGATGGTCGGAAGTAATTCCTACATCTGATATATCGGCTGAAACAACTTGTAAAGCTCTAATTAGTGGATGGATAGCTCGTTTTGGATGCCCTTCCACTATCACTACTGACAAGGGTCGGAACTTTGAATCGCATCTTTTCAGGAAGTTCACGAACCTGCTGGGCACTCATCGTATTCGTACCACTACCTATTTTATGATTTTATGAGGATTGCTGTTTTCTTCTGAATCCGTACGGTGTTTCTGTGAGAGTGTCTGTGCTTTCTCAAGGTACTGAATCCGGCGAGTATACTGTATCATTTCACATACTTTGCCTATGCTTGGAATTAGGCTAATTGTTCTGTAACTGGAGGGTTCTTTCAAAGCTTCAGTGAAGTAATTATGATGGCATGCTTCCACTAACCCATTTATGCCCAGTGGCTAAAATGTAGGACGCTTAGAAATTACTGTGTAGGAAATATTGTAGTGCATATATCTTTTAACCAAAGCAATTTTTCAAGCACTTGGGGATTGTTTTTACTGTTAGCAAAAGGTGGAACCACTAGATGGACATTAAAGTTATTTTAGGATGAGTTATTTTTATGGAAAACATTCGAGCATCGACAAATAATGGATAGCCACACGAAGTAAGTATTTTTGGCAAACTTCTTTTTCATAAAACTAAAAAC